TGGGGGGCGGGCACAGGGAACTGGGGGGCGGACACTTGCCGGGACGGGCACCTGGGGGGCGGGCACAGGGAACTGGGGGGCGGACACCTGCGGGGAAGGGCACCTGGCGGGACAGGCACCTGCGGGGACAGGCACCTGGGGGGCGGGCACAGGGAACTGGGGGGCGGACACCTGCGGGGACGGGCACCTGGCGGGACAGGCACCTGCGGGGACAGGCACCTGGGGGGCGGGCACAGGGAACTGGGGGCGGACACCTGCGGGGACGGGCACCTGGCGGGACAGGCACCTGCGGGGACAGGCACCTGGGGGGCGGGCACAGGGAACTGGGGGACGGACACCTGCCGGGACGGGCACCTGGGGGGCGGGCACCTGGGGGGACAGGCACCTGGGGGGCGGGCGTGCTCCCTGTGCGCTGCTCCTGCTCGCTCCTGTGTCACCTGCGTTTCATCAGCTGCCTCCGAGTTCCCGCGGACCTCAGGTTTCTCGCAGCTGTGTTTCCCCTTTTCCCAGGGGCTGTCCATCCATCGCGTTCTCAGTCCATGGCGTTCTCAGCGGAGCACATTGACCGCGAACCAAGCAAATTGACCGCGAACCGCGTGGTCGGGCGGGGCGAACCGCGTGTTGGAGCCGCTGCGGGAAGATTGTCGCCTTACATTTCACCGGGAACGTGGTCGAGTGTTCACGCTGCTCAGTGTGGTTTCCCGGCTAGTTAGCCTTCTGCGTCCTTAAGCGAGACTTACAGGAAAAATACGTTTCCTTTAGGAGCCATTGTTACCATTTAAATAGCAAAATGGAGCTCTTTCATCGAAATAACGCCCTTCCCCTGTACGTAGGTGCGCGCGTGCGCGTGTCTCAGTGTGCGCCCTTCTCCTAGGCCCGCGCCGCCTGCTGACCGGCGTGGAGTACGTGGTGGGCAGGAAGGGCTGCGACATCCTCCTGGAGAAGGACCCGTCCGTCAGCCGCAGCCACGCCGTGCTCGCCGCCCGCTTCCCCGGGACCAGCCTGGTGCGTTCCTGGCCCTGCTGCTCGGGCTCCGGGGGGTCGGGTCCGAGTGCCTCGCTGTGTGTGGAGGGTCAGCACCTTTTACTTCCTCAGCTGTTAGGTGTTGTTCTTTCATGTTTTTATTCATTTTACAGAGAGGAAGGGAGAAGGGGGGAGAGAGAAACCTCGGTGAGCGAGGAACGTGGCCCACTGCCGCCTACACCGTGGCGCCGGCCACCCCGGGCCTGGGGAATAGAACCGGGACCTCTTGGTGCAGGGAGGCCCAACCAACCGGGCCACGCCCGCCGGGGGTAGATTTTTTAATTTAAAAAAATTAAATCCATTCTGGCGGCAGTACCAGTGGTATTTGTTTATTTTGATATTTGAAGTTTCTGTTCCACTATTTGACAGTTTAATGATTTAGAAACTCAGGAGATAGAACATCTTTATATTTATTTACTTAAGCATTCATTGAGTCTCACTGTGTGCCTCGCCTGGGGATGGAGCAGTGAATGCCCTGAGTTGAAGGGTTGTGCGGCCCTATGAACACAGGTATTTCCCCTGCAAGGTGGGTTCGCACAGGGGTCCTGTTATTAGGGAAAATAGCTGTTGCTCATGCCCCACAGCTCCTTTGAATGGCTTTGAGTTTGGGTTGGTTGGTTGTTTTAATTACAACCTTGGGTGATAAAAGTGCTAAACATATATATAAACAGTTGTGCTCCTTATGCTGGTGGTTAAGAAATAAAAACCATTATTTTTAGCAAACACTGTATATCAGCAAGTACTGAATCTATTCAGTGATATTTAGGTTTTGTGTGTCTATTCTTTTTTGTTATCCTCACCCGAGGATATTTTTTCCATTGATTTTTAGAGAGAGTGGAAGGGAAGGAGGGAGAAAGAAGGAGGGAGAGGTGGGGGGGAGAGATCAGTGTGAGAGAGACACTTCGATTGGTTGCCTCCCACATGCCCCTGATGGGGCCAGGACCGGGGCTGGGGATGGAACCTGCAACCCTTCAATTCCAGGCCTGATGCTCTGTCCACTGAGCCACACCAGCCAGGGCTGTCTGTATTCTTATAGGTATAGAAAAACATTATTGTTCAATAGTGACTGAGTTGTAAAATACTAACTTATTTGATTTTTTTTTCAGAGTCAACCACATGAAACCCCTGTATTGACAATAAAAGACAATTCTAAGTATGGTACCTTTGTTAATGAGGAAAAAATGCAGAATGGCCTTTCTCAGACTTTGCAGACAGGGGACAGAATTACTTTTGGGGTGTTTGAAAGTAAATTCAGGTAAGAATTTTAAAAATTGATATAGAAGTGGAGTGCTTTATTTTGCATGAATCAGATTCTAAAGGACACAGCAGTTTTTTCTTGATTGCAACTTCAGATTTAGGTAACAGTGATTTTATTAGTTAGAAATCTTAGTAATACAAAAAAATTAAAATAGCACCTGTTTAAAGCTCTGTACCTATCACAACTTTGTGACTCGTTTTCACTTACAGAGTGGAGTACGAGCCTCTGGTCGCGTGCTCTTCTTGTTTAGATGTCGCTGGGAAAAATGCTTTGAATCAAGCCATCCTGCAGCTGGGAGGACTCACTGTAAACAACTGGACCGAAGAGTGCACCCACCTGGTCATGATGTCAGTTAAGGTCACCATTAAGGTAGGTCGAATGCCTTGTTGTTATGCTGAAATGAGTTCTGTGAATTTAAGCTTACCCACTCTGCACAGGTGTTTTTAAAGTCATTTACTTTAAACCCATCGGAATTGTTAGTTGTAGATTTATATATGCCAAACCCATGCCTTTGTATAACATTTATGTCAGATTGGCTTTTTGGTAATTTATTTATTATATGGGACAACAGAAGCACCTAAAATTATATTTCACTTTTGGATTTGACATTTTAAACAATGATTTACGTCATCTGTTCACCAAGAAGTTTCTACAGTGTAAGGCTAGTGTTTTCAGCCTGAGAGCAACTGCCAGTCTTCAAAATTAGCATCTCCCACCTCCTCATCCAGTTGTCTTCCTCCAGGCTCTGTCGTCTCAGGCTCTTTTATTTGGTTTAGGGCCCTAATCACAAATACTTGTTAAGTTCTTGTAGTTTAATATTGCCCTAATGTATCTCACAATCGAGATACGTTAGGTATATACTTTTAGAAGATGCTGAAAGTATTCATGAAAACAGTGATGTATTTTGGTATGTTTTCAGGTTTTGCATCTTCATCAGATTTGGTTATGTCCAAACTAACTGAAGAAAGACATTGGGAGGGGACTCATCTCCCTTCATTTATTTATTGTTTTTACTGATTTTTAGAGAGAAAAGGAGAGAGAGAGAGAGAGAGAGAGAGAGAGAGAGAGAGAAGCATCTATGCGAGAGTGAAACTGCCTCCTGTACCCCCCACTGGGGATGGAGCCCACAGCCTGGGCATGTGCCCTGACCAGGAATCGTACCAGCAACCTTCTGGGGCACAGGACAGCACCCAGCCAGCTGAGCCCCACCGGCCAGGGTGCTCATGTCCTTGTAAACGGGCTGGTCGTGGATGTGCAGGATTGCTTTAGGTTAATATCCATAGTGAAAACCAACAAATATTTAGATTCCTTCTTTAGATGATAGAAAAATCTTTTAATATATAATTAATTAAGCTGGAATGTGTGCATTATAGCCACCCAGGGTCCTAGAGAAGGGCTTGCTGCTCAGATTGAACCTCAGGTCAAACTTGTATCTTGGGATTATCTCTGACCAAGGATCACGTCATCTTTATGAAATTGATTTATAAATTCAGCAGAGTACTAACTTACGTTAGTACACCCACAGATACTAGATTCATAAATCAGAATGTCCACTATTAGTTTACAGTAGGGATGCACCCTCACAGTGATCAGAATATGTCTGTGTGGACTCTTCAGATATCAAGGTATCTGAGAAACACAAGAGGGAATCATGCCCTTGCTTGGTGGATATGAAGTGGGAGCTGAGGCTGTGACAGTCCCGGGAACTGTCACCATTCACCAGAGCACATGCTAGTCCAGTGATGCATCTGACGCCGTGTGTGGCTCTCGACACTAGCGTCCTGGATAGTCACCAATAGAGGCTAGTAGATCCAACCTTCTCAATATCTCTGATCAGTCATGTGCCAAAAAAGAAAACCTTGGCCTTACTTTTTTTTGGTAACATTTCCAGAAGTACAGACAGGTTAGCTTATGTTTTTAAAATCATTGAGTGTTAGAACAAAATAAATCTTAAAGAACATTCAGTTCAGTTTTTATAGGGATTTGTAAATTAAGCAATGACTGAATTGACTTCTACTTTATAGATTATGGTTTCTTTATAGAGCGATGAGAGGGGAAAAGAATAGAATAGCCTCTTTGTAGTCTGTAACTTAAAACTTTTATTTAAAATGAGCTAGTAGGGGTATATGTATTCACATATGCTTTCTTCTTAGACAATATGTGCCCTCATTTGTGGACGTCCAATTGTAAAGCCGGAGTATTTTACTGAATTTCTTAAAGCAGTTCAGTCCAAGACACAGCTTCCTCAGATTGAAAGGTATTTTGTGTACTTTAAATATAATAAAGCATGGCATATGAAGTATGATAGCACTAATTTTATTTAAGTTAATCTCTCTTTATTGACTGTTTCAGGATGTAAGGTTATAGTTCAGTTTTATTAGTGAAGATTTTTTGTTCGTATGTAAAGAAAGGATCCCTGAATTCTTTTTTGGTTGTTGTTTATCTTGGTGAAACAAATGTTATGTGTGTGCTAATATTTAAAGAAAAGCACTGAAGGCTAGTGAACAGCGAGGGGCCATACGCAGAGCGCGTGTGCCAGTGCCAGGTGTCCTTGCTCGATGCTCCCTGGACCGTGTGGTGCAGCAGCTGCCTGTCCGGAGCCACTGGCCCCCGGGGGCAGTCACAGCCCTGGCCTGGAGCGCCTTTCTCCTGGGACTAGCACCTGTCCTGCTGAGGATTTGGGTGTTTAACTGTTGGGTACTTTAAGTAATAGTGTATACAGAGTCCGAGCACATTGCCTGGCATCGTGATAGGGGCTTGCTGAAGGAAATGTTGCTCATCACAGTATCTGTGGAGACTGCTTTATTTATTTATTTAGATGCTTTGCAGAATTTGTGAACCCCCAGGCTAAATGGTTTGGTATTACAGTGTTTGAAGTGATGTAAACTGGTTGAAGAGGAAGTTGGGGTTTTTAGATTGCGTGATTAAAATGCTGTGCTAAAATGGTGGGTGTGTAGTCGTCTTAGCACAAGGGCAGCTGCTTAACACTTGGAGTCAGGAGATTATAGTCTAAATCAGTGGTTCTCAACCTTCTGGCCCTTTAAATACAGTTCCTCATGTTGTGACACAAACAAATATTTGGTAATACGCAGTTACAATCGGCCCGAGTTTACACGTTTCCCGCACTCCACCGCAAATCTATATGAACCGAGTTAAAGACGGCTCCCGCGGAGTACGCGCAATTCACGCGAGCCGACTTAACTCGTTTCCTGCACTCCAAGTGTTAAAATATGTGTCAGGAGATTATAGTCTAAATCAGTGGTTCTCAACCTTCTGGCCCTTTAAATACAGTTCCTCATGTTGTGACCCAACCATAAAATTATTTTCGTTGCTACTTCATAACTGTAATGTTGCTACTGTTATGAATCGTAATATAAATATCTGATATGCAGGATGGTCTTAGGTGACCCCTGTGAAAGGGTGGTTCAACCGCCAAAGGGCTCGCGACCCACAGGTTGAGAACCGCTGGTCTAAATGAAATAATAGATTGACTGCCTTGATAAACTCATCTTATAAGACAACTTTGAAGGGTTAAAAAATCTAAAATATGACTCAAGTTTATTATCTTATTACTAATTTTTAAATATCACTCGCTAGTTATAAGGTATTTTGCCCAGTTCAGGGTTTTTAGGGACTATTTATACCTGATAATACGTATCTGCTTTTAAAAGTAACTGAAAAATTTTCCTTTTTGTTTTTAATTTTCATTTGGAAGGTTTCTTGTATTTTATAATCTGGTTTAGCAGATAATGTAATGTTTCAGGACCCTGAAAAGAGGTTCTCATATTTTAAAACAGACGATTCTTCACCTGTTTTGAGTGCTAGATCCTGTGAGGACATGCAACTTCACTTACCCTCAACTAGCACAGTGTTCAACAGAATCACCTTGTCCTCCAAGCCTATCTGTGAACCTCCTTAGGGGAGTTGATAAATCCTATAAATCTTCACTAATGAAACTGAGCTATAACCTTACACCCTGTAGGATCGGCACAGATTAAACTGTTGTGGAGTCTAGATCCCTTGGGAGTGGAGGGGCCTGTGAGGCCTCTGCTGCTGAGAATGCGTCTGAAGTCTTAGAAATCCTAGAGTTGGTCATTGATTCCTACCTACTGTTCCGATTCTTGGGTATTTTTGACTTTAGGTTCGACATAATTTTTTTTCTGACTTCAGTTTATGACTTTATTAACTTAGATGCCTAAAATAAAACATTTCTGCCGTAACTCCAGATTCATTGTTAACCAGAAAAGACTATTGCATTAGCCCTTGTTTGATGATGACAATCAGTAATCAAATTGTTAATGTTATTTTAAAATGCATATTTTCCCCTTAATCAGTTCCCACACCTTCTGGCATCCATTTGATGTTGTTAAAGACTTATCTGACTCTGTACTCAACTATTTAACAGAAAAAGGGTGACATTGGGAAGTAGGATGGGTTTCCAAAGGGATATGAAATATATTGTTGTGGCTTTTTATTACATAACTATCTTCTCTCTTAGCTCTGGGAAAAGATCCCACTAGTCCCGGGTTTGAATTGGGAAGGCGCACGGCAGTGCTCTTACCTCACAGAGGACCGTCCTTTTTGGTGTGCAGCTGTGGCTGCCTCTCTGCACTGCTGTCGGAGACGGGAAGACAGAGTCTAAGCTTCTTGCACCCAACCCCGTGGTGCCAGCTTTATCATCAGTGCAACACCCTTGATTACGGTGGCTTTACAGTGAGCCTTGGATTCAGGGAGTGTCAGTGCTCTTAATGTTTCGTCAGCATTGTTGGCTATGCTGGGTCTTTTGCCTCTTTACATAAACTTTAGAGTCGTCAGTATCCACAAAAGAACTTGCTGGTAGTTTTATTGGGGTTGCATTGATTTATAGATCAAGTTGGGATGCACTAACAGCTTGACAATGTTGAGCCCCTCATTATCCATGGACATTAGTCATTTTTGTTAGAAGGTAGAGGTAAGCTGAAAGGCTGGTCACTTATGAATAGCTATAGCAAAATATCTGAGTGTGTAGAAAGTTGAAACTGGACTGATGAGAAGCTGAAGGATTATGTGTTGATTTTTCCTCTCTTTTCTTCTTTTCCCCCATGCCCATGGATTATAGATGTGTTTATAGCATTTAGAAATTTTATTTAAACTGAACAATAATATGTCTTAATTTCCTGCACTTCTCCAAAGGGATCCATAACAAAACATTTATAGAAGTTCACAGAATGGAGTCCAGACACTGTTAATGCGCCCGTCCCCAAGCAAGCACATGGCGATGGAATTTGATGGTTATGGTTAGGTCGCAGCCTTTGTAATTCATTAACTTGAGTTCTATATACATTTAATTGTATCTTGTTATGATTCTCTACCCTTAGATTATTTCTAGAGAAATCATTTAGATACCTTTAATCATTTTGTCCCAGATAAAAACTTTTTTAAAATCCTATCTACATTCAAGGAACAGCAGCCTCCTGATCACCACACCCTCTGTCTGAGAAACAGCAGCTGTGTGTGAAGCCTCCCCCCACCAGCCAGAGGAGCCACCACAGCAGTGAACAGCACCCACCACAGGAGCTGCTGCCAACTGAGGAGCAACTGCTACCACAACCGCCCAAGGAGCAACCACAGCCCGAGGAGCCACTGCCACCCAGGGAGCAGCCACTGAGCGACTCAACATCTAGATATGTCGGTGAGATCAAACATGGGTAGACAAAGAAACCCCCAAAGGAAAGAAAAGGAGGACTCGCCAGAAAAGCAGCTAAGTGAAACTGAGGCATGCAGCATGACAGAAAAAGAATTCAGATTAAGGGTCCTAGAATGCATAAACCGGATGGAGGAAAAAATCAACAACTTATACAAGAAGCAAGAAGAAACGGATGAAAAAATCAATAAATTATGTAAGAACCAAGAAGAAATGAAGAGTGATATAGCTGCAATAAAAAACACCATTGAAAGTTTCAACAGGAGACTAGGAGAAGCGGAGGACCAAATTAGTGAATTAGAAGACAAAGAAGCAAAACACACCCAAACTGTACTGCAATTGGAGAAAAAAATTAAAAGACAGGAGGAGAGCCTAAGGGAGCTATGGGACAACATGAAACGAAACAACATACGAATAATAGGTGTGCCAGAACAACAGAAGGAGGAACAAGACTTAGAAAACCTATATGAAGAAATAATATCAGAAAACTTCCCTGAGGTGGGGAAGAAAAAAGTCACACAAGCACAGAGAGTCCCAAACAAGGTGAACCCGAAAAGACCCACACCAAGACGCATCATAATTACCATGGCAAATGTTCAGGACAAAGAGAGAATCTTAAAGGCTGTAAGAGAGACGGAAAGTTACATACAAGGGATCTCCCATTATATTATCAAATGATTTCTCAACAGAAACACATCAGGCCAGAAAAGAATGGACGGAAATTTACAAAGTGATGCAAAGCAAAGAACTGAATCCAAGAATACTCTATCCGGCAAGGCTATCATTCAAAATTGAAGGGGAAATAAGAAGCTTCACAGACAAAAAAAGGCTAAGAGAGTTTATCACCACCAAGCCAGCAATGCAAGAAATGCTTAAGGGACTGGTGTAAAAAGAAGAAATAAAAAGCTCAGAAAGAAACCAGCAACACAAAAAAAGAAATGGCTACAAACAAGTACCTTTCAATAATAACTTTAAATGTAAACGGACTAAATGCTCCAACCAAAAGACATCGAGTGGCTGAATGGATAAAAAAACATGACCCATACATTTGCTGTCTACAAGAGACCCACCTCAGAAGAAAGGACTCACACAGACTGAAAGTGAAGGGATGGAAAAATATCTTTCAGGAAAATGGTAATGGAAAAAAAGCTGGGGTAGCAAGACTTATATCGGACAAAATAGACCTAAAAGTGAAGGCCATAACAAGAGATAAGGAAGGCCACTTCATAATACTAAAGGGATCAATACAACAAGAAGATATAACCCTGATAAACATATATGCACCCAATGCAGGAGCACCCAAATACATAAAAAAACTCCTGGAAGATATCAAAGGAGAGATCGACAACAATACAATCATAGTAGGGGACTTTAATACACCACTGACATCACTGGATAAATCCTCTAGACAAATAATCAGCAAAGAAACAGCAATCCTAAATGACTCACTAGATCAGATGGACTTAATTGACATCTTCAGAACACTTCACCCCAAAGCCATGGAATATACATTCTACTCAAGTGCTCATAAGACATATTCAAAAATAGACCACATATTGGGTCACAAACAAAGTCTCCCCAATTTCAAGAAGATTGAAATCATACCAACCATCGTCTCAGACCACAATGGCATAATATTAGAAATAAACTACAATAAAAACAACCCAAAATACTCAAACACTTGGAAGTTGAATAGCATGTTATTAAATATTGATTGGGTTACCAATGAAATCAAAGAAGAAATTAAAAACATCCTGGAAACTAATGACAATGAAAACACAACAATCCAAAACCTATGGGACACAATGAAAGCAGTCCTGAGAGGGAAGTTTATAGCTCTACATGCCTATCTCAAAAAACAAGAAAAAATGGTAGTAAATCATCTAACTCTATATCTCAAAGAATTAGAAAGAGAGCAAAAAGAAAACCCCAGAGTGAGCAGAGGGAAGGAGATAATAAAGATTAGAGCAGAAATGAATGACAGAGGACCAAAAAAACAATACAGAAAATCAATGAAACCAAGAGCTGGTTCTTTGAAAGAATAAACAAGATTGACGAACCTCTAGCCAGGCTCACCAAGAAGCAAAGAGAGGACCCAAATAAACAAAATCAGAAATGATAGAGGCGAAATAACAACAGACCCCACAGAAATACAAATGATTGTTAAAAAGTACTATGGAAAACTCTACTCCAACAAACTAGACAACCTGGAGGAAATGGACACATTCCTAGAAAAATACAAACTTCCAAAACTCAATCAGGAAGAATCTAAAAATCTCAGTAGGCCAGTAACTATGGAAGAAATTGAAGCAGTCATCAAAAAGCTTCCAGCAAACAAAAGCCAGGACCAGACGGCTTCACAGGGGAGTTTTACCAAACATTCAAGGAAGAACTAAAACCTATCCACCTCAGACTACTACAAAAAATTCAAGAGGAAAGAACACTTCCAAGCTCATTCTATGAAGCCAGCATCACCCTAATACCAAAACCAGGTAAAGACAACACAATGAAAGAGAATTACAGGCCAATATCCCTCATGAACATAGATGCCAAAATCCTCAACAAAATCTTAGCAAATCGGATCCAGTGGTACATCAGAAAGATCATACACCATGACCAAATAGGATTTATCCCAGGGATGCAAGGATGGTACAATATCCAAAAATAAATAAACGTGATACATCACATAAACAAATTGAAAGAAAAAAACCACATAGTCATATCAATTGATGCAGAAAAAGCATTTGACAAAATCCAACAGCCATTTTTGATAAAAACTCTCAGCAAGGTGGGAATAGAAGGATCATACCTCAACATAATAAAAGCCATATATGACAAGCCCACAGCCAACATCATACTCGACAAAAACTAACACCATTTCCCCTAAGAACAAGAACAAGACAGGGATGCCCACTCTCACCACTCCTGTTCAACATAGTACTGTATTAGCCATTGCAATTAGACAAGAAGAAATAAAAGGCATCCAAATTGGAAAAGAGGAAGTAAAACTGTCCTTATTTGCAGACGACATGATATTATACATACAAAACCCTAAAGACTCCATCAAAAAACTACTAGACTTAATACATGAATTTGGCAATGTAGCGGGATAAAAAATTAACCCCAAGAAATCTAAGGCATTTCTATACACCAATAGTGAACTTTCAGAAAGAGAGACTAAAAAAAAATCCCATTTACCATCGCACCAAAAATATTAAGCTACCTAGGAATAAACTTAACTAAAAAGGTAAAAGACCTCTACACAGAAAACTACAGGACGTTGAAAAAAGAGATAGAGGAAGACATAAACAGATGGAAGAACATACTGTGTTCATGGATTGGTAGAATCAACATCATTAAAATGTCCATACTACCCAAAGCAATCTATAAATTCAACGCACTTCCCATTAAAATACCAACGGCGTATTTCACAGATCTAGAACGAATTCTCCAAAAATTCATCTGGAATAAAAAAAGACCCCGAATAGCTGCAACGATCCTGAGAAAGAAGAACAAAGTAGGTGGGATCTCAATACCAGATATCAAGCTGTATTACAAAGCCACTGTTTTCAAAACTGCCTGGTACTGGTACAAGAACAGACATATAGATCAATGGAATAGAATAGAGAACCCAGAAATCGACCAGAACCAATATGCTCAATTGATATTTGACAAAGGAGGCAAGAACATACAATGGAGTCAAGACAGTCTCTTCAATAAATGGTGTTGGGAAAATTGGACAGATACATGCAAAAAAATGAAACTAGACCACCAACTTACATCATACACAAAAATAAACTCAAAATGGATAAAGGACTTAAATGTACGACGGGAAACCATAAAAATTCTAGAAGAATCCAAAGGCAACAAAATCTCAGACATATGCCAAAGCAATTTCTTCATTGATACAGCTCCTAGGGCACTTGAAACTAAAGAGAAAATGAACAAATGGGACTACATCAAAATAAAAAGCTTCTGCACAGCAAAAGAAACCATCAACAAAACAACAAGAAAGCCCACTGCGTGGAAAAACATATTTGCCAATGTCATATCGGATAAGGGCCTAATCTCCAAAATTTATAGGGAACTCATACAACTTAACAAAAGGAAGATAAACAATCCAATCAAAAAATGGGCAAAGGATCTAAATAGACACCTTTCAAAAGAGGACATTCAGAAAGCCAAGAGACATATGAAAACAAGCTCAAAATCACTAATCATCCGAGAGATGAAAATCAAAACAACAATGAGGTACCATCTCACACCTGTCAGACTGGCTATCATCAACAAATCAACAAACGACAAGTGCTGGAGAGGATGTGGAGAAAAAGGAACACTCGTGCACTGCTGGTGGGAATGCAGACTGGTACAGCCACTATGGAAGACAGTATGGAGTTTCCTCAAAAAACTAAAAATGGAACTCCCATTTGACCCTGTGATCCCACTTCTAGGAATATATCCCAAGAAACCAGAAACACCAATCAGAAAGGATATATGCACCCCGATGTTCATAGCAGCACAATTCACCATAGCTAAGATCTGGAAACAGCCTAAGTGCCCATCAGTAGATGAATGGATTAGAAAACTGTGGTACATCTACACGATGGAATACTATCCTGCTGTAAAAAAGAAGGAACTCTTACCATTTGCAACGGCATGGATGGAACTGGAGAGCATTATGCTAAGTGAAATAAGCCAGTCAATGAAAGAAAAATACCACATGATCTCACTCATTCATGGATAATAAAGACCATTATAAACTTATGAACAAAAATAGATACAGAGGCAGAGCTGCCTCAAACAGATTGTCAAACTGCAGTGGGAAGGCTGGGGAGAGTAGGGGGGCAGAAGCGGGGGGTAAGAGATCAACCGAAGGACTTATATGCATGCATATAAGCATAACCAATGGACATAAGACACTGGGGGATAGGGGAGGCTAGGAGATTGTCAAGGGTGGGGGAAAAAAGGAGACATATGTAATACCCTTTGTAATACTTTAAGCAATAAAACAATTTTAAAAATCCTATCTAATAAAAGACAAAAAGAGTAATTGACCATACCTTCACTACGCTTCCCATTGGCTAATCAGGGTGATATGCAAAGTAACCGCCAACCAAGATGGCAGCCAGCAGCCACGCAGCTGAAGCGAGCAGGAGGCTTGCTTGCTCCAGTGATGGAGAAAGCCAAGGTTCTCTGCCTGCCGTGGCCTGGCTCTGAGCTCCGAAAGCAACAAAGTTTCAATTATAGAAGCTAAACAAACCCCAGATACCTGCTTTCAGCCGGCCTTGGCCTCAGAGTTGGAGCCGGCTCTCAGCTCCAGTGACAGCAACAAAGTTTCAATTATAGAAGGTAAATAAATCCCAGAATAAAAAAATAAGAAAAAAAGGAGAGGCTGGGAGCTTCAGTCACCGGCCAGCCTGAAAACGGCCCTCAGCCCCTCACCCAGACTGGCCAGGCACCCCAGTGGGGACCCCCACCCTAAAGAGGGTGTGACCAGCTGCAAACTGCCATGAGCCCCTCACCCAGGCTGGCCAGGCACCCAAGCGGGACCCCCACCCTGATCTGGGACACCCTTCAGGACAAACCAGCCGGCCCCCACCCGTGCACCAGGCCTCTATCCTATATAGTAAAAGGGTAATATGCAAACTGACCCTAACAGCAGAAAGACTGGGAATGACTGGTCACTATGACACACACTGACCACCAGCGGGCAGATGCTCAATGCAGGAGCTGCCCTCTGGTGGTCAGTGCGCTCCCACATGGGGGAGCTCTGCTCATCCACAAGCCAGGCTGATGGCTTCCAGTACAGCGGTGGTGGTGGGAGCCTCTCCTGCCTCCTCAGCAGCGCTAAGGATGTCTGACTGCAGCTTAGGTCGGCTCCCCGCTGGCAAGTGGACATCCCCCGAGGGCTGCCGGGCTGCCAGAGGGATGTCTGATTGCCAGCTTAGGCCCAATCCCCTGGGGAGCAGGCCTAAGCCAGCAGGTGGTCATCCCCCGAGGGGTCCCAGACTGCAAGAGGGCACAGGCCGGGCTGAGGAACCCCCCTCCCCGAGTGCACAAATTTTTGTGCACCGGGCCTCTAGTAATATAATAATATAATAGTATTATGGAAATCAAACCTTTCTAGTGTCTAGAGAGCTATTCCATTTACCAATTTAATGGCATGTATACAGAGTAGTTTATAATTAGAATATACTTTAATATTTATTTATTTTTTACAGTTTTTACCCACCAATTGATGAGCCAGCCATTGGAAGTAAAAATATTGATCTGTCAGGACGGCAAGAAAGAAAACAGATCTTCAAAGGGAAAACATTTGTATTTCTGAATGCCAAGCAGGTAATGTTTTAAGCTAAATGTTCCTAAAGAAAACATTACACACGACAAATTAGTAGTGTTCCCAGTGCATTTTCTTTTGAGATTATGTGCAGAAGTGCGACATCGAGTACAAAACTGCCCAGGCACCAGCCCATGTTCATGTATGTGATTATAATGTTCCTTAATATCTGTCAGTTGGCCTATTAATTAAGTTTATACAAATATGTAAGTTGGGGGTAAGGAGAACTGGTTTAAGTTCTAACTTGTGGGTTATTAAACAGGTGTTGAATGTCTTCCATGTGTTGAAGTGGGGTCCAGGGTTTCTATCACAGGGGGACCCCGCCCATGGGCTGCAGGCAGCGTGCTGTGCCAGGGCCAAGGTGCCTGTGGACCAGGGGTTTCTCAGAATGGAGGCACAGGCGGTCCTCTCAGGAAGCAGGACCGATTGTACGTCAATTCTGTCCTTTCGCTTCCAAATCAAGTTCTTACAAGGTCTAGAACACACTCAGAATTCATTGTGGCTATTGTATTACTTTTTATTTTTTCCATTTTTAGCATAAGAAATTAAGTTCAGCGGTTGTTTTTGGAGGAGGGGATGCTAGGTTGATAGCAGAAGAAAATGAAGAAGAAGAGAGTTTCTTTTCGGCTCCGGGAACTTGTGTTGTTGATGTAGGAATGACAAATTCACAGCCCTTAATTTCTGACTCTCAGAAAAAATGGATTCACTCAATTATGGATATGCTCCAAAGGTACTTTGTTATTTGTTAGTAAAAATATATGCAAGCAGGCGGTTTTATATGTGTGAGTTTTGGTGTACTCTACATAACAACGGGAAAGTATATACAATAATTATTGCAAAGATTTTATTATAGACTAGAGGCCCGGTGCACGAATTCGTGCACAGGTGGGGTCCCTCAGCCTGGCCTGCGATTGGGGCCATCTCGCTCAGTCCAGGGGCAGGGACTGTGGGAGGTTGGCAGGCCATTGGAGGTTGGCTGTGGGAGTGCACTGACCACCAGGGTGCAGCTCCTGCATTGAATGCCTGCCCCCTGGTGGTCAGTGCACATCATAGCAACCCGTCATAACGGTCACTTAGGCTTTTATATATATAGATGGTACTTGTATTTGGTTTAAGAAATATTTTTCTATTCATAGATCAGATTACTTACCTATATTTTTTATTAGTATTTTGATATTTTGTTTGGAAATTTGTTTTTAATCTACCCGGAATGGATTCAGTTTATACCTAAGCTCCACACGCAGGGGAGCAGTTTGTCCTTACCCTCCTCCGCGCATCAACACGCCCTCATGTCCAGCACCGCCTACACCTCGTGTCCACCAGGCCAGGCTCTCGCTCTGCTCTGCCTCAGAAGCACCCTGGCTGTTCTTGGCTCTTCTCTGTTCCATGGACATTTTAGAATCAGCTTTTCACAAATCTTGTTGGGAATTTGATTAGGAATTTTATTGAAACCACAAATCAATTTGGGGAGAATTAACAGTATTTATAATTTCTCTGTAGAGATCTTAAATACCATTTATTAGGTCTTCCTAGATATTACATATATTCTGGTAGATATTATACCTGTGGTAGGTGAAATACAAGTATATGATATTTCTTTAATTATATTTTCTAGTTGTTTACTGTTGATGGATAGAAATTCAACTCAAAATTTAGACACTGTTCTATCTCACCACCTTGCTGGACTCCCGTTGTATTTCTAATCATCTATAGTCATTTTTTGTATAAACCATATCTGTAAATAATGACATTTCTATCTTTTTTTAATCCTCATGTCTCTGATACCTTCCTCTCCCTGTCTCTCTCTGTGTACCTTCTGGGGCCTCCAAGCGTGTTGTACAGGAGGGCTGCTGCATATCTCACCATTGGCTTGAATGGAAGCTGCCACTGTTTCCCTCCTAGGATGATATAATGTCTGTATAGCACTGTTATTATATGTGCGTTAAAAATGTTTTTATTTTATATAGTCAATTGTTATAACTAATTTTTATAGTATATTTATAGTTTCAAAAACAGTAGGGTAATAAAATGTTAATTTTGGATTGCCACTTGTATACAATACTTTATAAAACCTATTTTTTAGTATATACTATTAGAATACTATTATAATCGCACTTACAGTAAAACTCTAAGTTAATCCAGTCAGTGCATTTAAAAAAACAAATGTTAAAGCATCCAAAAAAGACCTTTTAAACTGCTGCAGCCACTTAAAATATCTTGCAATGAGTATTAAAAGTTTTGTAGTTCTTAAAATTTGAGGTACAGTTTCTATAACATTATATTAAATTGTTTTTGTTTTATAAACTCAGTATTATCCACATTACAGAATAACAGAAGATAGGTTCACCCTAAGATTCCTTTAATAAGATTCTTTAACACATGTAAATTTGATAAAATGATTTGATTTAATGAACTTTAAATCATAGCACACATCAGCCTATCCATAGTTCTTTGTACTTCTCTCCTTCCTTCCCATTCTCCTTACTGCTTTCTCTCTTTTCTGTTTTCTCTTAGGATTTCAGTAATCATAGGTTTGCTTATAAAAATCTTTTTTATTGCTTCATCTGGGTGTTACTGTTTTCTTCTTATTCTGAAAGTTATAGAATTTAGAACTGAAGGATCTGTATTCTTTACTCTAGACCAGTGGTCGGCAAACTGCGGCTCGAGAGCCACATGCGGCTCTTTGGCCCCTTGAGTGTGGCTCTTCCACAAAATACCACGTGCGGGCGCGCACATACAGTGCGATTGAAACTTCGTGGCCCATGTGCAGAAGTCGGTATTTTGTGGAAGAGTCACATTCAAGGGGCCAAAGAGCCGCATGTGGCTCGCGAGCTGCAGTTTGCTGACCACTGCTCTAGACCTTTACAATTGAAATACCTGAGTTGATAAACGTGGTGGACTTGCCCGGTGTAGCCAGCTCAGTGAGGAAGCCAGCCTCTTGTATGAAGTTCTCTCCATACAGTACATTGCTGGACCTCTTGGGGGAGGGGAGAGTTTCAGTTTGACATCATCTTAATAAATTTGTTAGTCGGAATATATTATCATACTTAAATCATTTTATTCTAATAGGCAGGGTCTTAGACCTATTCCTGAAGCAGAAATTGGATTGGCAGTAATCTTCATGACGACAGAGAATTACTGTGACCCTCAGGGCCAGCCCAGTCCAGGTAATTCAAGCATCGTTTTTATCGACTCTTCAGCAAGTTTGTTTATTATGCAATTGATGGTAGGCTGTATGCACATTCCTAGGTACTTACCCGGAGTGACCATTTCCAATGTCTTTTAAAACTCACCTTCTCCATTTAGTCATTTATCCATTTAAAAAATATATATGTCAGCTGCATACTGAGCACTATTCTAAGTGCTGAAGATACAGGATGAATAAAGTGAACAAGTTCCCTGTTATTGTGACTTTATATTCTGAAGGTCGGGATTCAGGCTCTTCTGATAAGTCCTGTGAGGACCAAGCACAAGGAGAAGCTGACCCCGGGGAGTGGCAGTGCCTGGGAGGGCTGTGGGTGGCGGTCAGGGTCTCGCTGAGGATGCAGCACTGGGGTGCCAGGCGTCTGTGTGGTGAGAGGAGGCCACACGGGCAGATCTGGGGGCAGAGTGCCAGGGAAGAGGACCTGAGCACCATCGCTCTGTGCGGAGTATGGATTTCGGGGTCCAGGGTGGGTGGGGATCCGAGGGGTAGCCCTGTGGAGGCAGGTGGGAGCCGGGCCAGGGGCTGTGTGGCAGCTGGAGAGGCGGAAGACCAGTCAGGGTACATTGTGGGGACAGCCTGTAGTTCTTGGCGTGAGTCCCTGGTGGCTCATGCCATTTCTGGGGCGAAGGGGGCATGCGTAGCTCAGTGCTGACTGTCCAAGGCAGCAGCCCTGCCCCATTGTGAGTTACCACACAGTCCCTACTTTTCTTGAAAATAAACTATTGCCTTTACGATGATACATTCATTCTTTTCTGCTTGCTTTGGACCCTCCATGTGTTTGTGTGTATTCCCCGAGGAGCTCTCTTTTCTTTGTAATTAGAAGCATTACTTCTTGTATGTACTTATAGTCTGACTGACAGTTTCAGAAGACAGCCATTGGGGGTTGGGCAGGGAGAATGCGTGTCTTCTTCCCTCTCCTTTCTCTCCTCCTTCTATAGTCACTCATTTACTTACTCAAAATGTTTATTGAACAGGTGCTAACTACCTCTAATTGTTGTAAACACGTGGAGTAAAGCGGCAAGCAGACCCCTGCCCTTCTTGTGTCTTTGCAAGGAGCACATTGTAAATAACCTTATTGTTGACAAACATGTTACTCTGGACATTCGGTTCCATCTATAAATGTTTCTGTTAGTGATTATATAAGCATCCGTAATTATTCTTTTTTGCAAACTTCTGTGTAAGGAAAATGAGTTTTGGGGACGGGCGTGTTGGAGGAAGTGCCTGTGAGCTTCCGCAGTGGCCACGTGGAGAGGGGCAGAGTGTTCGCATGCGGGACTGGGAGTCAGCGTGACGCTATCAGACACGGGGTCGCGAGGAGCTGGCAGTGGTCATCTAGCTTACAACTTAGTAAATGCCACTGAAGAGCTTTTTCAGTTAGCACTTCCATCCCATCACCTATTTCTATTCACTGCGTCCCACACTGCTCAGGGCTGGAGGCAGAGGAGCCAGCAGACCCTCCCTGCCTCAGGTCTAACGGGAAAGCGCAGGCGAGCGTGCAGGGCGCGGAGGCAGCAGACACGTCCACCTGCAGGACAGCGCTGGCTGTGCTCCATGCGCTTCCTCAGTGCTGTCCATGTGTCAGTTCCTTTTGCCCTCAAAACGGCTCTTGAGGAAAGAATGATTCCCCATTTCATAGATGAGGAACGTCTGGCACAGGGTCACTGCTGCAGGTCCCACAGCTGGGGCAAGTGTGTAACAGTTAACAGAGACGCTGGGCGGAGGGCCCACCCCAGTGCGGGGGTTCCGGAGTCAGGTGAGCAGCCCGAGAGTTACCCTGCTGTCTTAGCAACTAAGATGATGGTCATCGTGGTAGTCAAAAAAAATGTCTAAAACTGTGTTCTTTTCAAATAGTATATATCTTCTAAAAATAAAACTTACGTGGACTTTGATTTGTGTAGATAGTAGGGTGGATACACTTTCTGTGGGGAAGAAATGTAATTTTTTGTCTGTTGACTTAAAGCATTATTTGAATTAGAATTTAAGTTGGCCCTAACCGGTTTGGCTCAGTGGATAGAGCATCGGCCTGCAGACTGAGGGGTCCCAGGTTCGATTCCAGTCAAGGGCATGTACCTGGGTTGCGGACACATCCCCAGTAGGGGGTGTGCAGGAGGCAGCTGATCGATGTTTCTCTCTCATCGATGTTTCTAACTCTCTATCCCTCTCCCTTCCTCTCTGTAAAAAATCTATAAAATATATTTAAAAAAAGAATGTAAGTTGATTATTTTTATTTAGGTTGATAATTTATCATGAAGGATGTGATATAGCACTAAGATGATTTAGTGTAGACAAGCTCCTCACAGATGCCGGCAGGCTGTTGATGGGCCATTTCGTCAAGTATCTGTTGTCTCCACTGACTGGAGACAGTGTGCTGTCCTACCTGCTCACTTCCCTCAGCACGACCAGGGGAACGTGGTGAGCGGCCAGCGGCTGTGTTCCTTCTTTCACGTGTGTGATTACAGGATCCAGGACAGCGACCCCAGGGCTGAGCCAAGGCTTGTCCGTCAAAGAGGAGGTCATGCCCAGTGCCCCCGGGAACACTGTGACCTGCGTGGCCGACACAGCCTCAGAGCAAGCAGACACATGGTAATGCTTCCCTGTCTCATCTGAGTAATAAACACACTGTTTCATTCTAAATAACCCATAGGAGCTGTTCATACTGAAAGACACCACGTTTCAGTACTCAGACCAGATGCAACTTTTTAAAGAGAAACTGTGTTTTGAAAATCATTTGAATGACAGCTTACTTGTTTTTCTGTGAAATAACAACAACAAAGGCCATATATATTCATTCAGCCATGCAGTGTGTGTGTGTGTGTGTGATGTATATATTTTTCTGGCATCGAGAGCTGAGTTCTGTTGTAGAGACTCCACCACATCAGTTCATCTCAAGTGCTCTGAACGCCCTATTATGATACCAGAATAATAGGAGATTTGTCTTTTTGTGGTTTTCCATTTTTTATTATTTTTTTGCATGGAAGTAATTTAAAAATTTTAAACCAAGCAAAAATTACACAGGCTTCTCCCCACATTTAGTTCATAGGAGGACACGGGTGGGTGTGCGCTGCAGGGTGAGAGAGGGGCCGGCTGTCCTGGGGCGTCGATGGCACAGGAGAGTAGAGCAGGCTGACAGCGGCTTGGTGTGAAGCTAGTGCTACTTGAAGGCCTTTGTTTCTGGTGAACATGGCTGTAAGTTGATTGCCTGGCATGCTTTTCTTTTGCTACAGCATGGATCTGAGTGAAAGGCCAAAAGAAATCAAAGTCTCCAGAATGGAACAGAAACTCAGAATGCCTTCACCAGAGACATTCCCTGTGAAGGAACCCCCCAAAAGGAGCTCTGAGCGCACTTCTGTAGGACCAAATGCTCCCGTCAGGGCGGAGACGCCCAGCTATCGGCTCTCCCCAGTGAAGCTCTCCGGTGTCAACAGAGGTGGAGGTGGGGCTTCCCAGCAGCTGCAGACCGACTCCATCCGAAACCACTTCCAGCCTGACCCCAGGAAGAGGTCCGCTCCCCTCACCCTGTCTGAGAAACTGCTGTGGGTGTGGAGTGGGCTCCCGTCTGTGCAAGCTCGGCCTGGACTGCCCCCTCCCTGTGCTCTGGACGACTCACCTCGCCTCTTCCTTCTGCTCCCAGCCATCTCTGCCCTTGGCTGCGCTTGCCCTCCAGTCTGCGGTCCCTGCTGACTCCCTCCCAGCAGTGCTCTCTGCTTCTACCGCCTTGCGTGTCTTCCAGGTCCTCCGTATTCAAGAGCCCCATCCCTTCCTTCAGTCTTCCCTCTACGTGGTTCTTCCTCTTGCTGCGAAGAAACTTCTCGGAAAAGGAGATGGTGTCCCTGCTCCCATTTCTGTCTGAGGCACAGTTCATCCTGATGTGATGTCCTTCAAAGTGGCCATGGACGCATCGCAGTCATGGCTGTTGCTGGCACGCAGCCGCTGAGCCCTCTGCTCACGCCTTTCTCGCTTGTGGCCGCGGTCTGTCCGGCTCTTTCCCTCTCTCACTGGCAGCCTTTGCCTCCTCTTTGAGGCGTTTTCTTCCTTTCACTGCTTTTTATCCTCTGTGTAATCTACCTGCAGGTTCCATGATGCTGTTACAGATGCTCAGTGCATTTGGCCCTACCCGTCCTTTAAGCTTCACTTTTCCACAGGCATTTCCTGCTGTTTTCCCAAATGATAGTCCTGAAAACTCTCTCCCCTGTGACTGAATGTGTCCTTTTTTTGGTAGCTCAAACTTTGTCAAAATCTTTGACTCTTTCTTCTCTGCCCCCTCCCCCAAACCAGTCCTTTGGTTCTTATTTTCAGTCTTATAAACTCCTCCTTCCCATCTGGGTGTGTTGCTAGCTCTCCGGCTCAAACTCTGTTATTACAGAAACCTCTTGGTCCAGCATGCGGAGGTGAGATTAGAGTGACTGAAAGGTCACCTGACTGTTCAGTCCAAGGGGAGCCCAGCCCACTCCTAGAGCGCAGGGACTGAGCTCTGAGCGCCTGGGCACAATGGGCGCACACAGTGTTCGGGGCTTGTGGACGCATCGCAGCGTTGTCTAGGAAACCGTAGTCACGTGCTCACGTGGCACTTGTCGGGTTGTCTGTAAAAGTTCTAGATTAGCTCCTCGGCTCCTCTCATTAGCCCGGCAGGGTCTGTTCCCAAAGTGCGGTCTCCCTGCCCACAGGCTCCCTAGGTTGCAAGGTAAGCTGTTGCTTCCTGGCAACAAGGCCCTTGTATTTTTCTGTGCTTTTCTCCACATGGATTTGTCAACTGCGGCTACTTCAGCAAAGCTAGAGCTCGCCCCATCATTTTAGCCACAGGGTGGGTCAGTCCTCTCAAAGCAGTAGAGTATATATGGATTATGTACTGTTTTCTGATGTCTCTTCTTATTTCCAGTGATGTTGTTACTTAATAAAACCCAAAATATTGTGGATTAAATGTGAAAGGGGTGAAAATGGCCAGACTATTAAATTACTTAGCTGTGCTCATTGTCTGTTTTTATTTTTTTCTCTTCTTTTTTTAAATCTAAGGGAAAGGGATGAAGAAAATCAAGAAATGTCTTCATTTAAGTCAGCAAGAATGGAAATGTCTTGTTCTCTCCTGGAACAAACACAGCCTGCCTCCCCCTCGCTGTGGGCAAGCGGCGGGCAGCCTGCTCCCCAGGGGGGGCCCGTGGGGCAGGAGCCAGGCGGCCTCTTCGCAGACACAGAGTCCAAGGCCACTTCGAAAACTCCTGCCAGTAAATCTCTTTCTACAGAAAAACTAAGGTCAGAAAAAAGGAAAATTGATGATTTAGCCATAGAAAATGAAGTACTGGAAGAGTTACTCCGGGACACAAAGCGGGAGTTGGACATGGAGGTGGAGGTGCTGGAACAAGAGGGAGCCGTCCGAAGGAGAAAGGTGCCAAGGCTGGACGTAGAAACAAACGGCTCTTTGCACGATGGGACAGCGCCAGAGAGTGACGACATATCTGTAAGTAACACTTTTTAATGAAAAATACTGCAAATGGAAACTTAGAATGTTAAAAAGTGTTCGTTTTCGATACTTGTATTGACAGTATGAGCATCCGTTATGTTTCCTTGAAAAAAATTACTATCTTCAGCACCTGTATTAAGTATAAGAATTTGTGGTTGTAAGGTAGATGTTAAAAATACAGTGACTCTGCTGGTATATAATAAATGACAGCAAATAAAACTGTTATTCATGATTGTTTAATAGATTTCTAGGAAGTACTTTTATATCAGACATTTGGCCATGAATATAAGTATAGGAGATGCCTTAATAGAGGAAATGAAGACAGGAAGATAAAGAAAGTTAGTGAAACAGAGTATCTACTAAATACATTTTTTCTTTTACTTTTATTTAATTATTTATTTTTTTTTAATTTATCTTTATTGTTGAAAATATTACAGATGTCTCTTTTTTTCCCCAATTGACCCCCTCCACCCTGCGCCCACCCCTCCCACGCCCTCACCACACTATTGTCTGTGTCCATGGGCTATGCATCTATAATAATAATATATAATAACAAAAGCGTAATATGCTAATTAGACCGGATGTCCTTCCAGATGACCTTCTGGACAAAGCCACGGTGGCGGGGGGGCCAAGCCCTTTGCACAAATTTCTTGCATCAGGCCTCTAGTATATGCATAAATTCCCCAGTTAATCTCTCCCACCCCCACCCCCACCCCTGCCTTTCTTCTGAGATTTGTCTGTCTGTTCCATGCTTCTATGTCTCTAGGTCTATTTTGTTCATTACATTCCACATGAGTGAGATCATGTGATACTTATTTTTCTCTGACTCACTTATTTCACTCAGCATAATATTCTCCAGGTCCATTCATGCTGTCTCAGAGGGTAAGAGATCTTTTTTTTTTTACTGCTGCGTAGTATTCCATGGTGCAAATGTACCACAGCTTTTTATCCAGTTGTCTACTGATGGGCACTTGGGCTGTTTCCAGACATTAGCTATTGTAAATCGTGCTACTTAATATATTCTATCTGTTTGGTGTTTGAGGTCTCTTAGGATATAGTCCTAGAAGTGGGATCATTGGGTCAAATGGGAATTCCATTTTTAAATTTTTGAGGAAACTCCATACTGTTTTCCATAGTGGCTGCACCAGTCTGCATTCCCACCAGCAGTGCACTAGGGCTCCCTTTTCTCCACATCCTCACCAGCACTTGTCATTTGTTGATTTGTTGATGATAGCTATTCTTACAGGTGTGAGGTGATACCTTATTGTCATTTTAATTTGCATCTCTCTGATGATCAGTGACTTTGAGCATGTTTTCATATGTCCCTTGGCTGTCTGTATGTCCACTTTGGAGAAGTGTCTCTTTAGGTCCTTTGCCCATTTGTTAATTGGATTGTTTGTCTTCCTTTTGTTAAGTTGTATGAGTTCCTTATATATTTTGGATATTAACCCTTTATCAGGTATATCATTGTCAGATATGTTCTCCCATACAGTGGGCTCCTTTTTCATTTTGCTGATGGTTTCTTTTTCTGTGCAGAAGCTTTTTATTTTGATGTAGTCCCATTTGATTATTTTCTCCTTAGTTTCCTTTGCCCTAGGAGATGTATTTGCAAACATTGCTACACGAGATGTCTGAGATTTGACTGCCTATAGTTTCTCCTAAGATTTTTATGGTTCCCCGACTTACATTTAAGTCTTTTATCGATTTTGAGTTTATTTTTGTGTATGGTGTAAGTTGGTGGTCTAGTTTCATTTTGTTTGCATTATCTGTCCAATTTTCCCAACACCATTTATTGAAGAGACTATCTACACTCCATTGTTGCTCTTGCCTCCTCTGTCAAATATTAATTGAGGGTTATTGGTTGGGTCGATTTCTGGAGTCTCTGTTCTGTTCCATTGATCTATATACCTGTTCTTGTGCCAGTAACAGTCTGTATTGAGTACAGTAGCTTTGTAGTATAACTTGAAATCTGGTATTGTGATTCCTCCAATTTTGTTCTTTTTCAAGATTGCTGTGGCTATTCAGGTTTTTTGTTGTTGTTGTTCCATATACATTTTTGGAGTGTTCTAGATCTGTGAAGTATGCTGTTGGTATTTAATGGGATTGCATTGAATCTGTTGATTGTTTGGGTATTATGGACATTTTAATGATGTTGATCCTACCAATCTACATCCAGCTTCTCCAGCTTGTTAAAATATAGTTGTTCATAGTATTTTTTTAATTAAATCTTTATTGTTCAGATTATTACAGTTGTTCCTCTTTTTTCCCCCCATAGCTTCCCTCCACCCAGTTCCCACCCCACCTTCTGCCCTTACCCCTGCCACTGTCCTCATCCATAGGTGTATGATTTTTGTCCAGTCTCTTCCCGCACCCCCACACCCCTTCCCCGCTGAGAATTGTCAGTCCACTCTCTTTCTATGTCCCTGATTCTATTATATTCACCAGTTTATTCTGTTCATCAAATTATTTATCTTCTTAAAGGATACCTTTCAGCATTTCATATAATACTGGTTTGGTGGTGATGAACTCCTTTAGCTTTTTCTTATCTGTGAAGCTCTTTATCTGACCTTCAATTCTGAATGATAGCTTTGCTGGATAAAGTAATGTTGGTTGTAGGTTCTTGGTATTCATCACTTTGAATATTTCTTGCCACTTCCTTCTGGCCTGCATAGTTTCTGTTGAGAAATTAGCTGACAGTTGTATGGGTACTCCCTTGTAGGTAACTGACTGTTTTTCTCTTGCTGCTTTTAATATTCTCTCTTTGTCTTTTGCTCTTGGCATTTTAATTATGATGTGTCTTGGTGTGGTCCTCTTTGGATTCCTTTTGTTTGGGGTTCTCTGCGCATCCTGGACTTATAAGTCTATTTCTTTCACCAGGTAGGGGAAGTTTTCTGTCATTATTTCTTCAAATAGGTTTTCAATATCTTGCTCTCTCTCTTCTTCTGGCACCCCTATAATTCGGATGTTGGTACGCTTGAAGTTGTCCCAGAGGCTCCTTACACTATCTTCATATTTTTGGATTCTTTTTTCTTTTTGTTTTTCCCGTTGGGCTTGTTTTGCTTCTTTGTATTTCAAATCTTTGACTTGATTCTTGGGATCCTCTAGTCTGCTGTTGGGTCTCTGTATAATATTTTTTATTTCAGTCAGTGTATGCTTAATTTCTAGTTGGTCCTTTTTCATATCCTCGAGGGTCTCACTAAATTTATCGGCAGTTTCTAGAAAATTCTTGCAAAACCTTATAACCATGGTTTTGAACTCTATATCCAATAGTTTGCTTTCCTCCATTTCTGTCATTTGTGACCTGTTTCTTTGTCTCCGCATTTTTTATGCTTCCCTGTGTTGGTAGAGTGGCTTTGTATGCTAGGTGTCCTATAGGGCCCAGTGGCTCAGCCTCCCCAATTACCTGAGGTGGACACTCTTGGTACACCCCTTTGTGGGCTTTGTGCACAGTCTTGTTGTAGTTAAGCCTTGATTGTTGTAGGTATCACTGGGAGGATTTGACCTCCAGGCCAATTGGCTGTGAGAATCAGCTGTGGTTATGGTGGGAGAACTTCTGTGCTGGAGACACCCTTCTGGGGCAAGACTTGCTTCAGTGGGGCTTTGGTGCTCACTGAGTCTGCCCCCTGAGTGTGTCCCTTATGGATCTGAGGAGTTGTAATCTGGATGGTCCACTCTGACCACTGGGTACACTGGCTCTTGGATCTTTAAGGAGGTGCTAATTTAGCCTCTGCCTGAGGCTACCCAGCAGGAGCTATGGAGAGATCAGCAGATTCCTTTTCTTTGTTTTGAGTTTGGCGGTGCCTAGATGAGGCCCAGCTGTGAAGCAATGCAAGCTGCTGTGGGGCCTTGGGCCTTCTTTTGGATGTTCTGTGTCTCTCTGACCCAGCTACAGTTAGGTAATTTTAGATTGCAAAGTGCCAGGGCATTCATATGCAAAAGCCTCTGCGCACAGCTTGGGTGGGGCGGGGTCTCAGGGAATCAACAGGGTGGAGCAAACAGCTATGGCTGATCCTCAGTCCTGCCCTAAGAGGACCCAGGCCTCACTGTTCTGCGGTAATTGCTGCAAGTGCCTCTGAGAGAAAGCTGCCCTCGAGTTCTGCCCGCTGCCAGACAGTCCAGTTTCTCCCCGTATGAGTCTGGGTCCCCAGAGACTCACCCGGAACTGGCATTCAGAGCAGTCGGGAGCTTGAGTCTCCCTCCTGATTGAAAAAGACAACCGTGTCCTCAGTTGTCAGCCCTTTCCGCATGCACCTCCGTACCTCTGCACTTTACTTCCACACCTCCTCTGAGTCTCAGTGTGCTTTTCTCTTTCCTTCTAGTTGTAGAATTTCCACTCGGCCAGCCTTCCTATGGTTCTGGATGATGTCCATTTTGTCTTTTAGTTGTTTTTTTGAAGTCGTTGTCTGAGGCAGCAATTTCCGGTGTTTACCTATGCCGCCATCTTGGTTTTCTGTCTGTTCATAGTATTTTTTACGATCCTTTGTATTTCTGTGGGGACAGTGGTTACCTCTCGCCTTCGTTTCTGATTTTGTTTATTTGGGTCCTCTCTCTTTGTTCCTTTATGAGTCTGGCTAATGGTTCATCAGTATTATTTATCTTTTCAAAGAATCAGCTCTTGGTTTCATTGATCTTTTGTATTGTTATTGTGTTTATTTATTTAGTCTCTATGTCATTTATTTCCACTCTGATTATTTCCAGGTCTATATTCCCTACTTTAGTTTTATTTCTACTCTGGCCCTGGGAGGAGGTGCATAAAGGTCTGCCTATTTGGTTGCCATTTTCTCAACTCTAAATACATATTTAGGATAAAACATGTATAACATCACTAGGAATTTTTTTTTCATTTTGATATTTAAAGTCCTATCCTATTTTCATGCATGTTGATAATTGTCTTGCCTACTTTGGTCTAAGAAAAGTCTTCATATTCCTCCCTATTTTATGCATTAGTAAGTAGACAAGTTAGCTCATTAGGTGAGAGCACAGACCTCATGAAATCAAAATTTAATATTTTCCTCCCCCACCGAGGTCTGTTAGCTACAGTCTCATTCATGGCCATGTGTGGTCATCCCCTCCTATAAATGGCTACAGGGTGAGGACACGACTTAGAAAAAGGATAAGGCATAAGAGATTGGGAGGTACAGTGGTTGTTGAGAACCTGGTGTGTATCCAGCACTATATAAATGAATGACTACTATTGAAAGAAAAAAGTATATGTCTTATTTAACCTATATATTGGCATCTTCACGTGAGGGAAAGAACCCTTATTATGTACTTCTTAGGAGTAAACTGCAGATGCCCTGTGCAGAGTAGACTGCAGCTACAAAAAGCACCTGGTGAGCTTTTTATTTTTATTTTTAAAATATATTTTTATTGATTTCAGACAGGAAGGGAAAGGGAGAGAGAGATGGAAACACCAATGATGAGGGAGAATCACTGATTGGCTGTCTCCTACATGCCCCCCGCTGGGGATCAAGCCCACAACCCAGTCATATGCCCTTGATCAGAATCGAACCCGGGATCCTTCAGTCTGCAGGCTGAGGCTCTGTCCACTGAGCCAAACCGGCCAGGGCCTGTGAGCTTTTTAACTGTGGCTCCCAGACCAGAGCTTCAGCGACCCTGATGCAGGATGGCCAGTTTATCCCAGAAAAAGTCCCCTCACTGTATGAGGTAGGATTCCTCTGTGGTCTTTAAAGATTCTAAAATAGTGGCTTAAGTAAGACGTGGTTGTTCTTTTTTGTGCTGCGCCAGCACAGCCAAGGGTGACCCTGAGTGTGGGCGGTGAAGGATTGAGAAAAGACAGACAAGAGAATGAAAGCTGGGTCTCGGTGGGACGCTGCTTCTCTGATGGAGAGACAGCGCCACGGACTACAAGCCGTGTCTTTATTTTATAGCCAGATTCCACGAGGCAAAGTAAGGGTGTGGTCAAGATGTTGACAACATTCTCGTGGGTTTCGATCATACTCAATTACATGCACCTGAACTCTATCAAGCCCACATCACTCAAACACATGGGGCCACGTGTTCAGACCCTGAGTTCAAGCTTACAACCATAGCTGTTGGCTATAATTGTGCTGGGAGGGCTTTGCCCTCCAAGCTGGGACTTGCACATGGCCACGAGAGGACTGTGCCCTCTCATCAGTCCGAGGCTTGAACCTGTCCAAACACTGTAGCCGCTCTCCACACTTTTCCTATAAAAGAAGCCCCGAGAAGGTAAGCAAAGCTGCTAAGCAGTTCCCAGGACTCTGCTTTCCTGCTCTGCGGGGTGGCCCCTGCAGCCCTCACGGCTTCTATCCTCTGCGGTTACAGACCCTCCTGTGGCCAAGAGCTCCTTTCCATGGAGAAAGCACGGGGAGAGATGGCCTGAGGCCTTTCCATTTGAGTTCTCTCACTTCTTAAGGAGCTTCCTCAGAAACCTACTTGAAGCTTGGATTATTGGCTAGGATTTAGTCATGGTCTATACCACTCCCCACCATCCTTCACTCCCAGGCTCCAAGAGAGTCTGGAAGATGCTTTAAACTTGTCACATGGCCGTCCCCAACGAGCTCATCCTTGTGAGGAAGGAGGAGAATGGATGCTGAGATACCCTCTCGCCAGATTGAGAACTTCAAACAGAGGGGTCCCTTATTGTCAAAGATTGAAGATTAGCTGTTACTTTACCAAGGGATTCATTGAACCAAGTGGTCACCGGTGGCGCCGTTCCCACTGCGGTGGAGAGCTAAACTCGCTAATGTGGCCGGCGGTGCCATCCAGGGGTGATGTCCCCCTCCACGCAGGCACGTGCCTTCTGCTTGCACTGAATTTCCATCGTCATGTTCGCATGGCCTGTTCCAGAGCTCTGTCCAGGCCTCTAATGTTACGAGTGTTTAGTCTTTAGAAAGTTAGGTCCCAGTTCTGTTACTGTTGCCACACCTTTGGAAAGGCATTTGCTTTAAACCCTTTCCTCCTGTACTTATTTCTAATGTTTTTATTTTCTTTCTCTCCTCTTGTCCAATTACATGTTAATCTTTTTTATTAACAGCCTTTTTTTTTTTTTAGTTCTCTCCCAGATTGATCCACTGCTCATAGTGGTCGCAGCCATGTCTGGCAGTGGTTGTGGTTTTAGTCAGAGAACTTTGGTCCATCCCGTGTGGCTGCTAATTACTCTTCCTAAATATCTACTTGGACTGTGCGTTCTCCCTGGGCTCCTGTCACCAAGGAAGTGGGCACTGGAGCCCAGGCTGAGAGAGACAGGAAGTGGCATAGACCCCGTGATGGCGGGACCATTAGACAAGGCTTTTGTGCACCTGAAAAGATCTTTCATTTAAATGCCAAGGGTTAGCCCGGCCGGTGTGGCCCAGTGGTTGAGCATCAACACATGAACCAGGAGGTCATGGTTCAATTCCCAGCCAGGGCACATGCCTGGGTTTTGGGCTCAATCCCCAGTAGCGGGTGTGCAGGAGGCAGTTGATCGATGAGTCTCATCATTGATGTTTCTCTCTCTCTCCCTCTCCCTTCTTCTCTCTGAAATCTAAAAACATATTTAAATGCCAAAGTTTACATGCTGTCACATTGTCAGGGGATATTATTTAATTTTGCTCTATAATTCTACAACATGATTTTCTTGTCTTTATTTTACTACTTGAGAATTCATGACATTCTGAATAAAAATACAGTACAAAAATATGTGTACAGACTTTTGGAGAGTGAATGGCAATTTGTGGCATACCTTTGGGTATTTTAAAAGTTAAATCACTGTATTCTAGCACTATCATTTTTTAGTGAAAATCTTGTCACAAAAGTATTTTTACTTTCAATGTAAGATAATTTTTAAACCTTGTTTGTTTTGAGAGAAATGCTGATTCATGTGCTGCTGTAAGGAATTGTATGGAGAGAGCTCATACCCCTCTCACCCTGTCTCCCTGAGGGTGATGTCTAGCATGACTACAGTCCATCTGTCTTACTCAGTGTGTGGTCATTTTTAATTATTTAGTTTTGTCATTTTTAAGAATTTAAAATGTCGGAAAGTACTTGAGGATGCTCATGGATTAAAGGAATTGCACTTAATATTTCTAGCTACAGAAGTAATTATCAGAAAAAGTATTCCTTAATCCTTTCATTTAAAAGCTTTTTGCAGTTTTAAGAAGGCAAAGAATGTGATACTTCTCGTTGACATCGGATTCTTTAGTTATATTTCAGAAAGGCAATGTCTAAACTATGTTGAGGGTAGAACTGCCATTTTCCTATTTGGGGATTGAGATGTGGACTCCAGCCTGTGTGTGGGGTTTTGTGTAAGCTGGAGTAGGAAGCTGCTGGCTAGATCCTCCCACTGGGGGCTTATTCTGATGTAAATGGCCGCTCTGCCCAAGTCTAGGCCTTACTCTCAGTCTCCCAGCCTCCTTAGGATGCAAACAGGACTTGGCACCCACGGTGTGCATCTCCTTCCCCTCTTTCCACCTCCTGTTGTCAATTACTCTCTCCTCTTCCCCTATAGCTCCAGCACCTCCCAAAGCCCAGTGTGAGAGCCGCCTCCCTGGACACCCCAGGTTTCCGGCAGCCCTGCCGGGGAGCCTCCTGTGTGGTGCGCCTGGTTAGGAAACTGACGGGAGGAGGTGTTCAGTAACTAGGCAAGGCCCCTTAGCCAGGTTTTGACAAATGGGACAAAAACACAGGTCTAGCCGCTGGGATAAGTCCGATGTCTGGGTGGGTTGTAGTTTGATTCTCTGCGATAGGAAATGAAACCTTGTTTGAGAGGATAAGCCAGTTTGAAGGAGCGAGCACCATGGGAGAAGGTGTGGGGGGAAATGCTCTCCTTGTGCGAAGCTTCCCGGGCGCTGTGTGCAAGCGCAGGCGTGCACGTGGTGGACTGGGAAGGTAAAACTCTAATCTCGCTGTGGGTAAATACATTCACATTCTTTGCCCCTAAGCAAGCATAGAGTACATTTGTTTTTCTGTCCTTTCCAACTTTCTTACTAAAATGTTCCCAAATTTGATTACTGAATATGGGAAATTTCATGTAAAACAGTGTGCCCTCCATTGTCTCAGAGGGACCGCAGTTTCACTGCAGCCTTAGAAGCCATCTGTGTAAGACGCTTTTCTCTAGAACAGGGTCTGGATACATGAATGTGAAGGAGAGTGTGATTATGTACAAGGCAGACTCCAGTTTATTACAGATAAACATTTCGAATAATTAAAGTAACTTTCTTTCTTCTGGGATTAAGGATGATTTAAAATTTAATTCTAAACATAAATTTAGATAGACTCCCTTAAAAGTGTTTTTATTTTTAACTCAAAGTAATACGTAATGTAGAAATATGGAAAATAAAGAAACATAATGACAATTAGTTGACAAACCCTACTGTCTGCAGAAAACTGTAGTTAATATTTTGGTGTTTCCTTTTTAAAAACATATGTTGCAAACTTGGAATCTATTGTTAATCATCTACTGATGATATTTAGCATATTATGCACTTATGACCATTTCTCATATAAATACATAGTTTTGTTAATCCTCATCCGAGGATATTTTTTCCATTGATTTTTAAAGAGAGTGGGAGGGAGGGGGAGAGACAGAGAGAAACATCAGTGTGAGAGAGACACATCAATTGGTTGCCTCCCACAGCGCTCCAACAGTCCTCAGACCGACACTCCAACCACTGAGCAAAACCGGCTGGGGCCCACTTCTCGTATTTTTAAATGTCCCTTACATGTATAGGTTCAATCCCTGAACCTAGATTGCTTCCAGCTCTTTGCTCTTATGACTAACTCATACTGCAGTATATTTTCTACATATATGTAGTTTCCCATAGTTTCTCTAGGAAAGATGCTTGAAAGTCAGATAACTGGTCAGGAGCATGAATATTGCTGAGGTTCTCAGCAAGGTACCCTTTTATAACTTCTTTGAACAATATATATACTTTCATTTTTAGCAAGAAAATGAAATTGGGAAGAAATGTGAGATCAAGAAAGAATCACTGCCATCAACTAAAGAAGAGCCATCTGTGAGGAAACTTTTTATTTACTTTTTCTAAAGATTTGACTTCTATGGGACTATCATCTCGTCATTTTTCTGTCAGTGTATATTCTCAGAATTGATTCTCTTCCTGCATTTTGGTCTCATAATTGTGCCTCCTCTGGAAATGGGTGGATCATGTTGTAACCATCCTACAGCGAACAGTGTGGAGATTCCCTGCCCTCTACCCTATAGATTGTGACCTCGAACGAGTCATTGTCACATCTGTGAACCTCAGGTCTTTCGTTTATAAAATCACGTTAGCACTTTAACAGGGCTGTTGTTTCTATCAAGTAGAATAATGGATGTGAAAATTTTCTAAACGCTGAAACACACCAGCAAAGTATGAGGCCGTTGCTTTATTCGGCTCCTGATTGCAATCTGCCGCTCTCCAATGAACCTTTGCTTGTTTCCCATTTTCCTTCTCTCCCTGTCTTTATCTTAGTCCTGTTAGCAACTTCCTTGTGAAAATATACGAACCAGTTTAAAAGCTGAGACATAGCCCTGACCGGTTTGGCTCGTGGGTAGAGTGTCTGCCTGTGGACCAAATGGTCCCGGGGTCCATTCCGGTCAAGGGCACGTGCCTTGGTGGCAGGCTCCTCCCGGCCCGGACCCTGGTCAGGGGCATGCTGGAGGCAACCAGTTGATGTGCTTCTCTCACATCAGTGTTTCTCTCTGTCTTTTCCTCTCTTTTCCACTCTCTCTAAAAATCAAGGGAAAAATATCCCCGGGTGAGGATTAACAACAACAACAAAAATAATTAAAATGGAGACGTGGGCGTGGGCAGCTGTGGCAGTGTGGGTGGTGGCTGTTAGTTAATAACAGACGATGCGGAGACTCTCAGTTGGCCAGTTGGCCAGGAGGGAGGCTCCAGGCTGGTTTAGTAACTGTTAATCCCAAATGAAAAAGGGTCTTTCATTTCAGAAGGTAGTGTGTCTAGAATTAATGATTTTTCTGAGGTGCCAAAAATAATAAAAATTATTGAAAATCCAAGAAAACTTAAATATAGTAGATAAGAACTTGTGGAGTGGAGTGTATACTAATCTTGGAATATGGTTTTATTTGTTTTTATTTTTCTAATATATTTTTATTGATTTCAGAGAGGGAGAGAGACAGAGAAACATCAATGATAAGAAAGAATCATTGCTTGACTGCCTCCTGCATGTCCCATGCTGGGAACTGAACCTGCAACCCAGGCATGTGCCTTGATGGTTAATCGAACTGTGACCCCCTGGTTCATAGGTCGACACTCAAGCACTGAGCCATGCTGGCTAGGCTAGAGTATGGTTTTAATGAGAAGCAAACAGTACTAAGATTTCTTGCCAAGAAAATATGTATAAGAAGATCAATTGTTTATTGAGATGATATTTATTAAAATAGGCTACTAAAATTGAAATACTAAGCTTTTAAAATGCCACATGCCCTCTGTCATAGATTAGCGTGTTATAAATGTTTCTAAAGTTAGAGAGTGCTTGAGTAAATACTTTTCTGGTTTTGAAATAGATATGATTTGATTCCAAATACAAAGTTCCAATGCAGAAATAAACCTTTTTAACTGTTCATTCAGCTATTTGGACTTTTTAAATTTAGATTCCTCAATGACAAATAATTTTCCTTTTCTTATCTCTTATCCACCCACTTACCCCGGATAAGAACGAGGACAGGCCCCAGGGTGACGGTGAGATGCCTCTGAGGAAGGTGTTGCTGACAGAGTTCAGGTCCCTGGTGGTGAGTGGCTCTGCCTCCAGAAATGCCCCCAGTGTCAGGGGTGATCAGGGTCCACTGAAGAATTTCAAGAAGTTCAGAAAGGTACGTGTTCCTTCATAAAACATCCCAGAGGGCAGTGTGAAGTGGTTTTAGAACTACTACTGCTACTAACCAGTAGTCAAAGCAGTGCCAGTTGAAAACTGGTGCTATTTCTCCTGCTTAAGACAGTTAAGGCCTGAACTGACAGTCAGTGCGTGGAACACCTAAACCGGAACCAGCCCCACTGAGACTGGACTCCTCACAGTGTGTCCCTGTCCCCCTCGCCCCTCCAGCCCCAGCGGGCGTCTGGCTGCTACCAGGTCCTCTCAGTTCTCATGCTGATCTGTGACTACCCGAAGGGGTTCTGTAACCCAGGACGTTATGAAAATAGCAGGTTTGTGGAAAATAATAGCACATTCAGTAAGAAAACGAGGCTCTGCTGGGTGGGGAGGTGAAGCCTCAGGTCCCCTGTCAAACCCCGCCGGGCAGGAGGGAGTGGCTTCATGTCCCCCGGCCCCTACACAAGGGTGCGGCAACCATTTGCATATTAGCTCTTCATTATATAGGATGCATATGTAAAGTAAAATTATAAACACATAGAGGCCCGGTGCACAAATTCGTGCACCAGTGGGGTCCCTCAGCCTGGCCTGTGGGATCAGGCTGAAACAGGTTCTCCGACATCCCCTAGGGATCCCGGATTGCAAGAGGGTGCAGGCCAGGCTGAGGGACCCCACCGGTGCATGATCGGGGCCATGGAGGGATGCGGAAGTTTGGGCAGCCGGGGAGGGACCGCGGGAGGGCTCCAGGCGTGTCCAGCCCGTCTCGCTCAGTCCTAATCGGCCGGACCCCAGCAGTAAGCTAACCTACAGGTTGGAGTATCTGCCCCCTGGTGGTCAGTGCGTGTCATAACGAGCGCTTGAGTGGCCTTAGCATATCATTAGCATATTACACTTTGATTGGTTGAACGGACGACTGGACACTTAGCATATTAGGCTTTTATTACATAGGACTAGAGGCCCGGTGCACAAAAATGTGTGCACTCAGGGGAGGGGGTGTCCCTCAGCCCGGCCTGTGCCCTCTCGCAGTCTGGGACCCCTCGGGGGATGACCACCTGCTGGCTTAGGCCTGCTCCCCGGGGGATTGGGCCTAAGCTGGCAATCAGACATCCCTTTGGCAGCCCGGCAGCCCTCAGGGGATGTCCACTTGCCAGCGGGGAGCAGACCTAAGCTGCAGTCAGACATCCTTAGCGCTGGTGAGGAGGCAGGAGAGGCTCCCACCACCACCACTGTACTGGAAGCCATCAGCCTGGCTTGTGGATGAGCAGAGCTCCCCCATGTGGGAGCGCACTGACCACCAGAGGGCAGCTCCTGCATTGAGCATCTGCCCGCTGGTGGTCAGTGTGTGTCATAGTGACCAGTCATTCCCAGTCTTTCTGCTGTTAGGGTCAGTTTGCATATTACCCTTTTACTATATAGGATAGAGGCCTGGTGCACGGATGGGGGCCAGCTGGTTTGCCCTGAAGGTGTCCTGGATCAGGGTGGGGGTCCCCACTGGTGTGCCTGGCCAGCCTGGGTGAGGGGCTCATGGCTGTTTGCAGCTGGTCACACCCCCTTCAGGGTGGGGGTCCCCACTGGGGTGCCTGGCCAGTCTGGGTGAGGGGCTGAGGGCTGTTTTCAGGCTGGCCTGCGACTAAAGCTCCCAGCCTCTCCTTTTTTTCTTTTCTTTTTTTAATTCTGGGATTTATTTACCTTCTATAATTGAAACTCTGTTGCCGTCACTGGCGCTCCCAGCTCTGAGGCCGCGGCTGGCTGAAAGCAGGTATCTGGGGTTTGTTTGGCTTCTGTAATTGAAACACTGTTGCAGCTCCAGCTCTGAGACCTCAGCTGGCTGAAAGCAGGTATCTGGGGTTTGTTTAGCTTCTATAATTGAAACATAGTTGCTTTCGGAGCTGTTGCTTTCAGGCTCAGAGCTGGGCCGCAGCAGGCAGGGAACCTTGGCTCCCTCCATCCCTGGAGCAAGCAAGCCTCCTGTTCGCTTCAGCTGCGTGGCTGCCGGCCGCCATCTTGGTTGGCAGTTAATTTGCATATCTCTCGGATTAGCCAATGGGAAGCGTAGCGGAGGTACGGTTAATTCCCCTTTTTGTCTTTTATTAGATAGGATACCCTCATTGTTACCATCAGACCTGGGTGCCTCCTCTTTTAGGAACGATTAGATCGTTATTTTGTGCATGTGGTTGTCTGTTCTTTGCTGTCTGCTCTGGGCTCCTGGCTCCACGGTGAACCTGCTCTGACAGCTCTTCCTCATGCGGTTGGTGAGATGCTGCAGGATCTTTTCAGAGGCGGTTTCTGTGGAAACAGGGTTTCTCTGGAACGGGATCTGTGTGATGCTTGCTGTGACCATGAGGTATTGGAGCTTTGTCTCTCCAATGGCAGCTGCTAATAACGTTTCCCAATTAAATGAGTGGTCTGCCCACTCTGACCGCTCCACAGGGTCTGACCTCCATTGAAGAGGAAGAACTCTTCTGCTTCGAGTGGAAGAGGGGGGTCTCCATCCCAGGGCTCCCTTACCTTCCCACCCACAGCCGGGAGAGCACAGGGGCATCCTTTATCTCTCTTCACCCAACGATATGTCTTTATTGATTTTAGAGAGACAGCAAAGAGGGAAGAGAGAGGGAGAGGATGAGAGAGAGAGAGAAACATCGATGTGAGAGAGAAATTCTCTCCTACTCACCCTGACCGGAATTACACCAGCAGCCCAGGTGTGTGCCCTGACTGGGAATCAAACACAACCTTTTGGTGCATGGACGACACTTCAAGCACCTGATCCACCCAGCCAGGGCACAGGGCATTCATGTTCCATACTCCATGTTGAGTGCCCAATTACAAACCTCGTTGTCAAAATCCAAAAGACTTATTATTTTTTTGTATTAATGAAGTTACCAAAGGAAAAGCAATAATGTTCACTGTTGGCACAGGAGTGATGAAGAGATATAAAGCAGTACATATTTCTGAAAAGTAATTTGGAAAAATTTAAAACCCTTAAAAGTATTAATATCCTTAACAAGGAATTTTTTGAGAGTATAAAAGAAATTCAACCCAAAATTTATAGGAAAATATGTTTAATATGATTATCTCTAATGAAAGAACTTGTCTGTTTTCTTTATATATCCAAATCAATGACCTAGTTGTACTTGTGCTCTTAAAATACTGCTTAATGATGACATTGAATTTAACTTTCCCTTTCCAGTTCTTGTATTGAAATTTTAAAAGTATGTCCCATAAATATTAAGAATGTATTATTTACTCCCTAAATGCATTATTACCAGTGCACTTGTTATGGGTTTTCACATATTTTTAAGCACTTCTTTATTTGTAAGCAATTAAAATTTCAATTAAAAGTATAAACTGTTGCCATCTCCAACATCTCTTGCTAGGGATGTATAAATCAGAAAGTTTAAATACTTGAATATTTGCAAGTATCAGCAGTACTTAAGCTCCGAAATCTGTAGATCACAGTATTAGACTTTAAATTATAGTGTGTGTGCTCACCTGGAGTTGCTCTAATTGGTGGATGATGTGCTAACGTGATTTTTGAGCAAAACCTCCAAATTAAAAATCTTAAATTCTCTTAATACATAAATCTAGTTATGTAACTACATCTTGGTATAATAGCGAAACATAGGACAAAAACATGGCTCTAACACAGTTACCACTCTGTCTCACACATTGTCATCCACAGGTTATATACATCTTTGGCACTTATATTACACATGATTTATAACCCTTGCTTTGTTTAAGCTCTTAAAAATGATTGTCTTAATCTGTTAATGCATTTTACCTTACTACTTGACAGGTCGCATTTTCAGGAGCAGGAAAACTCCCACAGATCATTGGAGGATCAGATCTCATAGCCCATCATGCTCGGAAGAATACAGAATTAGAAGAGTGGTTAAGGCAGGAAATGGAGGTTAGTAGAAGTGAGGCCTGGTATCTTGTTTGCTTTGCATTTTGATCCCTTGTGGCTTCCTTAAACTCTTATCTATCTATTTATTTTTGTATACTTTATTTTTATTATTGACACTATTACAGATGTCATTTCCTCCTGTTTGCTCCCCTCCACCCAACCCCTGCCCCTGCCTTCCCTCTGTCCATCACACTGTTGTCTGTGTCCATGGGTTATGTCTGTATGTTCTTTGGCTAATCCATTCACCTTCCATCCAGTCCCCTCTGACAGCTGTCGGTCTGTCCCGTGGATCCTCACCTCTGTTTCTATTTTGTTCGTCAGTTTATTTTGTTCATTAGGTTCCACATATGAGTGAGATCATATGGTATTTGTCTTTCTCTGACTGGCTTATTTCACTTAGCACAATGCTCTCCAAGTCCCTCCATGCTGTCGCAAGAGTAAATTCTTAAGAGCAAACTTAAGTGACCTGAGGTTGGTCATTCAGGAAAATGCCTGAGTTACAGTGCTGCTCATCCATTTATTTCCCTGAGATTCAGCACTGCACTTTGATCTGCAGATGCAGTCTGTTTTATTTCAAGAAAATTTTCTGTTATATCTTTCTAATTCTTTTTTTATTGATTTCAGAGAGGAAGGAAGAGAGACATAGAAACATCAATGATGAAAGAATCATTGATTGGCTGCCTCCTGCATGTTCCACTCTGGGGATCAAGCCCAAAACCCAGGCATGTGCCCTTGACCAAAAATCGAACCATGACCTCCTGGTTCATAGGTTGACGCTCAGCACTGCGCCATGCCGGCCAGGCTTCTGTTACATCTTTCAGAACATTTTTGTATTTTCTGGGTCCTATACATTCAAGACCCAACTACCTTTTATTAGCTCACTTTGACCCTCCGCATTCCTTTCTTCTGCATTCATTGTGATTTTTAAGCTCTTTCACTCTATCAGAAATTCAGATTTCAATGGTGTCTGTTCTGTTTCTTGCCAGCTATGTGACCTTGTGACCTTGGGCAAATTACTTAACTTATGTTGGCCTCCGTTTTATAGTACCTCTGCTTCATAGACTGTGTGTGAGGACTAAGTAAGGTTCCACATGTAAAGTATCTGTAACAGTGGAACAGTCAGTCTTAGCTATTTCTAATTTATTTAATTCTGAAATGGTGTTATTATAGTTCTCAGATTGTTGGCATAGCATTCGTTTCCTTTTAGTGTGTTTTTTTATCATTTAACTTTCTTACTGCTTTTACGTCCTTGTTAATTTGTGTATTTTTTAATCTTAAGTTATTGTTTTTTGCAGATTAGGTTCTTCATCTTCTTTGGCAGGTTCTGTTCTGTCTCCCTTTCCCCTCTAGTATGTGGAGTGGCGTTGCTGTTTTCATTTGTCAGCAGCTGTTTAAAGTGACCTGTCCAGATACGCTCTTTGCTGTGTGAAGTGTCCTGGGCCATCTTACGTAGGGATTACATTCTAAAGCCAGTTTGTGAGCCAGAAGTTGAATGTAGTTGAAGTTACTCCCACGCCTTAGCTTGCTCCTAGAGAACAGGATTATCTGGTGGGTCCACACGTCCGTCCCCGTGGCAGGTGCTTGGCAGAGGCCCAGGGGAGACCCGTCTAGTCCTGTAGCCTGAAGACCTGGAGTCGAGGAGAGGGAGGGCTCAGCTGGAGCCTGGGCACTGGTCCTGGGGCTGGAATGAAGTGGGTGCCAGCACAGTGCGTCCTGTCCCAGAGGAGAATTTCCTGGCTCTTCCTGTTTACTGACATGTCCGGGATGTTGGTCAGTGTCGGTCCCACTGACTCCCCTCCTGCCACCCGTCCCTCCCACAGCCCCCCCGCAGTCCTCTCTTTCCTGCTCAGGCAATTCTTTCCCAAATGTAGGGCATCAGTAAGAAGTCTCCGGTTCCGTCAGTTCTGTAGCACCTTTGAATGGAGTGGGTTAGTGTCAGGAGTCTGTCCCCTCAGTCTCTGGTTCTCTGTGTGGCCACCTTGTGAAGCCCATGCGTGGACCCTGCTCCCCTGACTGGGAGAAGGATGGTGCAGCGCCTGACTTTTTCCTATTTTTTGTTTATTTCGTTAGAATTGGGAGAGGGAGACCTTGTGTTCTAGATTTGTTCCACCGTATCTCTCTTCTTTTTGCTCAAGCAATTTTGGGTGCCCTGGGGAGGATTTGGGGTCTAAGATAATAGTGGTGACTTTCTTCTCCTACGTGGCTGCAGCTCTGTCTGTCTCAGCTCCCTGGGCTGTCCGCTGCTCAGCTACATCCCCCACCCTGGTTCTCCCAGCCCTTCTCCCTCTGCTTCTGCTGCCGCCCGTGGCAGTTACCCTGATTGGGAGTCAGCTCCTGAGGTTTTCTTGAATTTAGTATATTGTCACTCTGTGCACTAAACATTGTAATTCTTTGAACTCTATTCAACCTGATTTGAATATGGAAAGATTGTGAGATGTATTTTTCCCAAACCCTTAAAAAATATCAGTACTACAAGGATTTCTATTTCTTAATACTATTTTATTTAGTGGTTGTACTAAAGTATATAAAATAAAGCTGATTTTCTTTTACTGTAGTACTTTATTTTATTTTTTTAACATGTATTGTTGAAAGTATTACATATGTCCTCCTTTCTCCCCCATTTACCCACTCCAGTTTGCCCTCACCCCCCACCCCAGGCCTTAAGCTCCCTATTGTCTGTGTCCATGGGTTTTGGGTATATGCATAAAAGTTCTTTGGTTGATTACCTCCTAATCACCCACCTCCCCCACCTTCCCTCCGAGATTCCATACTCTGTTCCATGCTTCCATGTCTCTGGATTCATGCAGTTCATCAGTTTATTTTGTTAATTAGATTCCACATATGAATGAGATCAGTTGATACTTGTCTTTCTCTGACTGACTTATATCACTTAGCATAATACTCTCCAGGTCCCTCCATGATGTCTCAAAGGGTAAGAGATCCTTCTTTTTACTGCTGCATAGTATTTCATGGTGTAAATGTACCACAGCTTTTTTATCCACTCATCTACTGATGGGCACTTGGGCAGTTTCCAGATCTTAGCTACTGTAAATTGTGCTGCTATGAACATAGGGGTGCACACATTCTTTCTGATTGGTGCTTTGGGTCTCTTAGGATATATTCCTGAATTGGGATCACTGGGTCAAATAGCAGTTCCATTTTTAATTTTTTGAGGAAACTCCATACTGTTTTCCGTAGTGGCTGCACCAGTCTGCATTCCCACCAGCAGTGCACTAGGGCTTCCTTTTTTCCACATCCTCACCAGCACTTCTCATTTGTTGATTTGTTGATGGTAGCCATTCTGAGAGGTGTGAGGTGATACCTCATTGTCATTTTAATTTGCATCTCTCTGATGATCAATGACTTTGAGCATGTTTTCATATGTCCCTTGGCTGTCTGTATGTCCACTTTGGAGAAGTGTCTCTTTAGGTCCTTTGCACGTTTTTTAATTGGATTGTTTGTCTTCCTTTTGTTAAGTTGTATGAGTTCCTTATATATTTTGGATATTAACCCTTTATCAGGTGTATCATTGCCAGATATGTTCTCCCATACAGTGGGTTCCTTTTTCATTTTGCTGATGGTTTCTTTTTCTGTGCAGAAGCTTTTTATTTTGATGTAGTCCCATTTGATTATTTTCTCCTTAGTTTCCTTTGCCCTAGGGGATGTACCTGCAAACATATTGCCATGAGAGATGTCTGCTATTTTGCTGCCTATGGATTCTTCTAGGATGTTTATGGTTCCCCAACTTACATTAAAGTCTTTTATCGATTTTGAGTTTATTTTTGTGTATGGTGTAAGTTGGTGGTCTAGTTTCATTTTGTTTGCATTATCTGTCTAATTTTCCCAACACCAAGACTGTCTTGACTCCATTGCTCTTGCCTCCTTTGTCAAATATTAATTGAGCGTAATGGCTTGGGTTGATTTCCGGGGTCTCTGTTTTGTTCCATTGATCTATATACTGTTCTTGTGTCAGTACCAGGCTGTTTTGAATATGGTGGCTTTGTAGTATAACTTGAAATTTGGTATTGTGATTCCTCCAACTTTGTTCTTCTTTCTCAAGATTGCTGTGGCTATTCGGGGTCTTTTGGGTTCCATATAAATTTTTGGAGTATTTGTTCTAGATCTGTGAAATATGCTGTTGGTATTTTAATAGGGATTGCATTGAATCTATAGATTGCCTTGTGTAGTATAGACATTTTAATGATGTTGATTCTACCAATCCATGAACATGATATATTCTTTCACTTGTTTATATCATCTTCTATCTCTTTTTTCAATGTCCTGTAGTTTTCCGAGTACAAGTCTTTTACCTCCTTGGTTAAGCTTATTCCTAAGTATCTTAATTTTTTGGTTGCAATGTAAATGGGATTGTTTGTTTAGTTTCTCTTTCTGAGAATTCATTATCCTATATAATAAAACACTAATATGCAAATCAACCAAACAGCAGAACGACTGGTCACTATGATATGCACTGACCACCAAAAGACAGACGCTCAACACGGGAGCTGCCCCCTGGTGGTCAGTGCACTCCTACAGGGGGAGCACGGCTCAGCCAGAAGCCAGGCTCACGGCTGGTGAGCACAGGCTCAAGGCTGGTGGCAGGAGCCTCTCCTGCCTCTGCAGCAGTGCTAAGAAGCAGCAAGCCGAGTGGTAAGGAGCAGCAAGCAGGCGGGCAGTAAGGAGCAAGGGGTCCCGGACTGCAAGAGGGCACCGGCCGGGCTGAGGGACTCCTCCCCCACCACCACCCAGTGATTGAATTTCGTGCACTGGGCCTCTAGTTGGTGTATAAAAAGCCATCGATTTTTGGTTGTTGATTTTGTATCCTGCTACATTGCCAAATTCATTTATTAAATCTAGCAGTTTTTTGGTGGAGTCTTTAGGGATTTCTGTGTACAATATCACGTCATCTGTGAATAATGAGAGTTCTTCCTTTCCAATTTGGATGTCTTTTCTTCTTGTTGTCTGTTCTCTGTGGCTAGGAGTTCCAGTGCTATGTTGAATAAGAGTGGTGAAAGCAGGCATCACTGTGCGGAGTCTGGTTTCTTTGGTTGGCAGAAGTCACTGCAAGGTTTTGGTCAGCATCCAGTAGGGTTGGACCTTGGGAAAGTGCCCTCAGCACAGGGTTTCTTAGGTCCTAACTCTGCAAGGAGCTTTAGTTTGATGAGTTTGAGTTTAAAATTGCTTTGTGGGTGAGGTAACTCAGCAGCAGCTCCTGAGCCCTGATTTGGGATAGCGAGGAAGGGAGCCACTTACCTGGATAGGTGCTGTGGGTGAAGGTGAGGGGAGCATTGCCACTCAGCCCCTTCATCAGTGGTATGACCTCAAAACACTTAAGTTCAATTGAGTACAAGGATTGTGCCGGGGGAAAAGGTTTCAAAGCCCAGCAGGCTAGCAGTGTACATTGTGGTTGCCTTGGGAGACTGGCTGTGGAGGTTGTTTGATTAGAGGACTTTGCAGCAGCAAACAGAAAGGGTCTATTGGCGGGGAGCGGTTAGAGCCAGAACTTGGCATCGGGTGCCCTCCTGCATGTGGAAATCCCAAGACTGGCCACCCAGTATAGCAATTCATTACTGTACATGCATCATTGAGAAATGTTTCAAAGTATGTTCATTTTCACAGGTGCAAAATCAACAAGCAAAAGAAGAGTCCCTTGCTGACGATCTCTTTAGGTAAGTTGAATTTAAGCTTTCTCATGAATCTTAGAGAGATCTATATAAAATTCAGTTCTATTCATAGAGATTAAGTATTTTCCTTCTGTCCTTAGAAATAGAGGCTTCACCTAAAGAATGTTTTGTTTTTAATATGTATTTCTTTTTACGACATGAGCACCTCTTAGTTTGGTTACTGGATATAGCTTCAAAGTTTGGGATTCACTCAGTTGTACTGTACCCCCGGATATTTAAAATATGTGGGGGAGCACTCAGGTCACAGAAGGCTCCTGAGCTGGGCTCGTAAATTTGTGAGATTCTCAACTGGGTAGAGTTATGAGTAAATAGGTTTTGAATCAAGATAAGTAAAATACCAGACCATTAGTTGAATTTTAATTGGCACAAGTATAAAAACAAGAGGCTGGATTAGAATTTCAAAGTAGGTTCTTGTGAGAGATTTAGCAGAGTTATAAGGGGCGATTATAATTTAATTCTGATTTAACATAAATTCAGCATCTTACAGGCCCAACAAACCTTATAATTCACTTTCAAATACTCGTAAAATACTATATTGTATGTAGATACTTGTTAGTGGAGAATAACATTTTCCCAAACTTATTTAAAGGCAAATGAAGGTAATCTATTTTTGAGTCTGTTTTACAGCTGATTTTTTAAATTTCATTATTGACAATATGAGTCATTCGTCAACATGGTGACAGACAGTGTTCATTTCTCCTAAGTAGTCAAAGGAGCCAGCCTGCTGCCCAGCTGCCTCTAATTGCTAGGGTAGAAAATGCTGTGAAGTAATTTTACTTTAGGCTCACTATTGCTCTTTTGTGAAAATAGTATATTTTAATTGGGGGTGGGGAGGAACTATGCTAGAAGAAGTGTAAACACATTTATTTTTAAACTGTTGTTTCTGTTAATTATTTAAATGCTTTGATAGATTATTTTTTGTTTTCGATGCTTTATTTTTTACCAAATATTAATGAAAGCAACATCAAAGTGATCAATGAAAGTAAAAATGTCAGTGCTTAATACAGGATGCTAAGGATAAAACTGGCATTCTCATTCTGTTTGGTGACGTGATTATATTTTGAAAACCCTTTAAAAGTGAAAGAAATGTCATCATTTATCTAAATATTATTTAACCCATTTCTTTCTTTGCAGATACAATCCTAACGTAAAAAGGAGAAGATAGATACCTGAGGTTGTTATAAAGAAGCCATGGGAAAACGTTTCCTGCCCACATACTTCCTGTTTCCTCTGGATTCGGGGGTTTAAGTTACAAATGCTCTGTGACCTGAATTTGTTAAATAAAATGCACAAAACTCCATTTCTTCTGTGTGACAAGTAGTATGGTTTGTTGTTACTGAGCTGGGTGTCCCTCTGCTTTAAGTCAGTTTTTGTAAAGTACAAATGGTAAGAGATGAGTATCTCACCTCTTACAGGAATTTTTTTCATTTTTCAATTTAGTTTTTATTTATTATTGAGTTTATAGTCACAGTTCATAATTCTAAAAAGATAAAAAGGGTAAGGATTAAAAAGACTCCCTTCCACGGAACACTGTCCCAGCTATTGGTTCCTCAGAAAAAAAATCTACAATACTCATTTCTTAGGTCTTTCCAGAGATTTTAATGCCTATTCAAATTTCTGTGCATATTATCTTTCAGTACTTTCCTACAAAACAATAGCATAACAAGTCCAGTGTCCTGCACCTTACTGTTCCCACTGCACAGACTGGAAGGCCGTGGGTGTATCGGAACGATGGTTTTCTTTTCCATTATGCAGGAGTCGCTCCTGAGCCGACGCCGGAGAGATGACTGCAGATGAGGCTGTCCCCACACAGTCTAGTCTGGGAGCCTGGAGACTGCCTCAGGCTCGCGGATTAATCTCTCAGGAGGGAGAGACCTGTTTGTGGTCTTACCGAGCTGGGTGTGCCTCTGCTTTGAGACCTAGTTTTTGCAAAGTACAAATGGTAAGACTGTCTTCTTTCTACTTTAAAGGGACATGGTAAGAAAAGAAAAAAAATGGATGTCTTTGCTTTCAAGTTTTGTGATGTAAGAACTTAGCCACACACTAGAATTACGGTACAGTCCTTCCGTCCATCTGAGGGTCAGTGTGCATGTCCCAGGAAGCAGAACAGGGTCTTGATGCTCACTGAAAGCTTCCTGGGTCACATCCGTTCTGACACCTCACAAGCCTGCCATCGCAGGTGATAGAGCACAGCCTGGAAAACGACCCAGAAATTAACTTGTGCCATTGCTGGGTCTTCATGGAAGATGGGTAAGAGCAAACTTTTGAGTCAAGGGGATGTTAACAGTTCTTAGCCTTGCCTAGAAACCATCTTTATAACAAAGTCATTTCAATTTAGCAGTGACATTAAGAAAAACATCCAATTCATTCAGTGCTCAAAAGAACAGGCCAGCAAGAGTGCTCAACCCAGTGTTCTCAGGATAGTGCACACTTTCCAGTAGAGGTAACTTTCATATGAAAAGTTACCATTATAATAAACTAAAGCTGCATCTCATCATTTCTAAAATCATTAAACTTAAATCAGACATGATAGCTATCAAAAGTATAAGAATTCACCAGTTTATCTGAAACAGCTAATTGTAGAGGCAAGTATGTTCTAAATGGATTTTAAGGTAAATTATGATCCTGTGAGCATACAACATTGCAAAAAGATGGACAGAAAAATACTAACACTTTAGTCCATTTTCTAATATTAAGAAAAAATAGAATTAGGTATTCAATAAACACATCTACCAAAAAAGAGAGACTAGAGAAAGACTGAGAAATTGTTTGCTATGGAGAATGTCAGAGGACTTTTTCGTCCAACACTAAAATTCTGGGGATTTGTATGGAAATACAGACATTAAGCACATCTAAATACATAAATAAGTGAAGATAAAGCATACAGTTCAGTAAGTAACCTTAGAAATTTGTCATCTGTAAACAAATTTCAAAGTGATCTTGGGAATGGAAGACAAGTTTTAACATTATTTTCAACTTTAGTCTTTAATAATTATGGCAGTACCCAAGTGGTATAACAATATTAGAAGAACTTAAACAGAAATTAAGCCAGTGTTCACACAGGAATAAGTTTCATTCAAAATTTACTGAATTGCAAATTATTATGTTAGTTAAGTAGAGAAATCTCCAAAAAATATCTTGGCAAGTTCCTGGATGTCTAAGTGTATGCCAACATTATTGAACTGTTTAAAGTATTAGCAGCTAAGAATGTGAAGTATGTCAAGTTTTCAATAATAAAAATATTTTTAAAAGATCAGCATATTTGATAATAAATTAGATTTATACAATTGTTAATTTCAAAGTAAAGAAAACCTGAGTTGTAAATGCCGCCTATCCCCACCCTACTTCATGTCCCATGTTGTTTTAGACCCTGTGTCTCAACCTTTAACAAGCATACACATTCCTTGAGAATATCGCTGAGACGCAGTTTCTGATGCACTAAGTCTGTGGTGGGGTCTGAGCGTCTACGCTTCTAACAAGCTACAGAGCGAGCTGAGGCTGGGCTTTGGACCACCTCTGAGTAGCAAGATGACCCAATATACAGTGAGGACGATTTCTAGCCTACTGACAGTTTGGTTTTATAGATTCAGGCTATGTTTTGGAATCAATCATAACCAAAAATGACCACAAAAAGTACTTCGTGGAAGAAAAGAGTGTTTTAGTTAAGTGAGAGCTTAAAGTATACCAAATTGGCATGTCTGTCTGATAGTGGCACCTCTGGTACATTACAGCAGTGATTTTTCAACCAGTGTGCTGTAAGAATTTTTAAAATATGCATTACCTATTTAGTCAGGGGCACTGGCCTCTTTTCCTTTAGATTGTCAAATTTAAAAATGATAACAGTCAACACAGTAGCTTTTCAGTGTGAATGTCCTGTCTTGAACCATAAATAGGTCAGATAATAGAGTTGCATCTTATCAGTCATGTTGCATAATAATGTTGAGTCTGATTTGTTAATTCTTGGTACCAGAAATCCTTACATGCAAGTATAGGTGCCTGATTTTTTAAAGCCACTGTGGAGCCTTGGCCAGTGCTGCTCAGTTGCTTAGTGTGTCCAGTGCACCAGAAGGTTGCAGGTTTGATCCTTGGTCAGGGTGCATGCAGGAGGCCACCTGTCTGTTTCTCTCTCTCTCCTCCTCCATTTCTCAAAAAAAAAGTCACTGGAGCAAAAAGGGGTAGGTAATTACTATTTGTTTTTATAAATCAAAATTATACTTATTTCTCCCCTGCTGGCATGGCTCAGTGGTTGAGTGTGGACCTATGATCCAGGAGGTCACAGTTCGATTCCCATTCAGGGCACATGCCCAGGTTGTGGGCTCAATCCCTAGTGTGAGGCATGAAGGAGACAGCTGGTCAATTCTCTCTCATCGATGTTTCTATCTCTCCTGCTCCCTTCCTCTCTGAAATCAGTTTTTTTAAAAAGATATTAAAAAATATATCTACCTATGTTTTTGTCAGATCAGCAAAAAATCCATTTTTTGGTGTGCCATAGAATTTTAGTAATTAGTTTGTGTGTGCCATGAAATAAAGTTATACCAAGTTCTTGTAACTTTAAAAAATAGTTACTATTGCCTGAGACTCTCCAATGAATTCAAGCCAGTACACGGCAAAAAGTTAAAAATCTTTAATGGTGAACTATCCATTAACTTGTAAACCTGCTTCAAGCTACCCCATCTCCTCCTCCTCTTTCAACAAATAAATGCTTTTTCTTCTGTCTTGTTGCTAAACAGTGTGTAACACCCAGTGCCCCTCCCTTTAAAAATCGAACAAAATTATCTCCAACTAAAGGACCCAATGCAAAAAGGTGGGCTTCTTGAACACACTCGTAGGTGTATGCATCTATCGCCACAGGATTACCCTTACAAGTGATCGGGTGGCCTGAGTCATGGCCCAGGTAACAGCCGTGCTCTTTCAGAAAAGACAGGTTGGGATGAGAACCTATCAGCACCACTGCTGCAGAAACTTTAAATATTTTCTTCAATCCAGAGACACTCTGAAGGATGCACTTCATGTCCGACTTAAAGGAAAGCACATGGTGCTCAGGAAAGCTGGTGTAATCAGATAAAAGATCCGAGTCTGCAGAATATGACTGCGTACACATCATGTGATAGACCTTATGGTATTCTGGATACAGCTTTTTAGGAAGCTGCTTGAAAATTAAACTTGGATCAGTTACTCGTCTGCGAAACACATGAATCACAGGGATGTTGTTGTTGTAAGCACACAGCACTGCATCCGCTGCAGTGAGCCCAGAACCTACAATTAACACTGGGTCCACTTGGCCACGCAACTTTCCTTTGCTTACAGCCGCTCCAAATTCAGGCAGTGAATGAAACACAAAAGGGAAATCTTCCCCTTCAACCTCCAGACGGGCAGGAGAGTCCAATGTTCCCGTTGCCAGAACTACATTCTCAGCAAAGAGACCGAAGGGAACATGGGAGCCATCTGCTACTCGCTGATAGCCCCGGATCTCCCAGTTTCTCTTGATAAACTTGGACTTCTCCAGCTGCAAATGCTGTGCTGGGATAGCTGCATCCTGACCACCATCCTCCTCCCGGTCTCTGTAGAGTCTGGACACAGAGGTAATGTAAGTGTTCTCTCTGAAGTTCTTCTGAAGACCCATGACTTTCACATAATGTTTATAGTAGCGAGCTACTTCCTCTGGCATAACTCGATCCCCTTTTAGGTTCCTGGAGAAGGAGAAGGAAAACATCCTATGAGAACAGGACTTTGGTTCTGTGGTTACTTTTTCATCAGTAAGCTGTTACTGTCTCAGCTATACATGACCCTAACCCAGCCGTGGGCAAACTACGGCCCGAGGGCCGGATCCGGCCCGTTTGAAATGAATAAAACTAAAAAAAAAAAAAAGACCGTACCCTTTTATGTAATAATGTTTACTTTGAATTTATATTAGTTCACACAAACACTCCATCCATGCTTTTGTTCCGGCCCTCCGGTCCAGTTTAAGAACCCATTGTGGCCCTCGAGTCAAAAAGTTTGCCCACCCCTGCGCTAACCCCTTACAAAGAAAGCAAGCTTTTAGTTAAAAAGAGGAAGCCTCCTGAGGGTAGAGACTAGGTAATGCATCCTGCTCCTCCATTGTATCTTTTCAGATTAGCTGCCTTTATCAATAAACTTTTTAATAAACAAAGGGATTAAAATGTGGATATGTGATCATTAGACTCCTTTACAGTCTATGTTACAATTGTAATCTAAATTCAGTTTATAGCTCTACTATTTAGTCTTTGTTCTGTACTCTACGTCAGCAATTTTCAACTGGTGTGACCCCCAAATTTTTAAAATATGCAGTTTGATCAGGGGCACTGACCTCTTCCCTCAGGTTGTCAAATAAAAAAAAAAATGACAGCACCCAACACAACAATAGCCAGTTGATGTGAATGAATCAAAATTATACCCTTTTTTCAGATCAGCAAAACATATTTTTGGTGTGCCACAGAATTTTGGTAATTAGTTTATGTGTGTCATGAGATAAAAAGGGTTGAAAATCACTGCTGTAAGTACAGACTAACTTATTTAATTACAATTGTTGAGATAGTACAGGTCTAACTGTAATACATAGATATACTTGTTAAAAATAATATATACCACTCTGACACAATTTTTAGTAAGGTGCTTTCTATTTTCCTAATGACCAAAAATAAAATCAGTCTTCTATAAATAAAATTAGCTTACATCTAAATAAATAATAGGACATTTCTGTGTTTTTTTACTCAGAAAGATATATAAATAAAATATTTTAATGAAAAAGTACATTAGTACATCTTTCATTTTCCACTTGAAATCTGAAGCAATGGGCATTAGCACCCCTAAACACTGTGCCCCAATTAGAGATAAATAGCAGGAAAAACAAACCAAATCACTTCACATAATTCATTATAACTTGTTTTTGGAAAAAGTTAATAAAAACAGTTTTCTTCTTAAAGTTTAATGATTATAATATTTTAAGATTTAAAGCGTATTAACCTTTGATATTTACAGAAACCCTATGTCAGTGATGGCGAACCTATGACACATGTGTCAGAGGTGACCGTGAACTCATTTTTTTGGTTGATTTTTCTTTGTTAAATGGCATTTAAATATATAAAATAAATATCAAAAATATAAGTCTTTGTTTTACTATGGTTGCAAATATCAAAAAATTTCTATATGTGACACGGCACCAGAGTTAAGTTAGGGTTTTTCAAAATGCTGACACGCCGAGCTTAAAAGGTTCGCCATCACTGCACTATGTAGTAGTAGTTACTATTATGATCTCCACTTTACAAGCTAGGAAATTGGCAGCTAATTTGTGTGACCAGGGTTACATCAGAAGTTAGAAAGTCAATCTAGAGAGCCAATCTCTAGAGATTTAAGAGTCTTCCTTCTTTTAACACGATGCAAAGGCAGGAACTAAAGGTGATAGTAATTCTGTACTCAATAATCCCCACTTCAGGACAAGCACTCTGGTATAGAGTCATGAAGCTCCTTTCTTACCCACATCACAAAGCGAAGAATGTTGAGCAGTTTTATTTACTGACCTATGAAAATCAGGAACTTGTACAACTTGCCTGATTTTGCAACTTTACATGTCAAATCCATATATAATTCTTTTTTAAAAACCCACAAGGAATATTTGATAGGTTTAATTTCAATTACACATGCTGGTCTAAATTTGCTCTCCTTACATCTTGTCAAAAGGAGGATAATTTCGTTGGATTAAGATGGATTCTATGAAGCAGGAAGTCAAGCATTCAAATGGTACAGCCCTGTTCTAACAAAAGTTCAGTAACTTCCTGCTTTCGTTTGCAGGAATGAAATGTTTTTGTGAGCAATCAAACTACATAGATTCTCTGCATTAGTAATTCCTATTTAATATTACTATCCTTGAAAACAATAGGGCTTTTCAATTTTTCTTTTTAAATTTTAGGTTCTTTCCCCCAAAATACACTTGTATTCTTCCAAGTTGAGATTTCTTCTCAGTTACTCAGTTGATATTTCCTACTAAAAATTTACCTTTATATCTAAGTAGCCAATCACACCATCGATTCTAGTTTATTCCATCACTCTAAACAATTAATCATATGCACTCCTCTAGTTTGAACGTCAAACACTTTCGGTATGTACACATGACCTATGCATACATGAATTGATATATCCACTCATAAAATAAGTGACTGAGTGTGGAAAGGATATGTGGGAAGATGAGAAAGTAAACCCTGGTTTAACAGGATGGGATAAGCCCATGCTCAGCAGAGCAGCCGGAACCCACCCTACAGACAAGCCCCTCCTGACCTCCTGGGAGGGGAACAGCTCAGACTCCCTGCTACAGAGGCTTCTGACGAGAGACACAGACATCTGTATTATTCATCTAAGACAGGTCACAGGTACCTTGAAATTTGCCGACACTCTTCCCTTTGCAACCAAAGAATTGTAATAGTTTGATCTTTACCTTCGTTTGCTAGTTACCCAGTCTTTAAATTTAAGTCCAGGGAGCTCCATCCAATTTCCAAAGCTGATTGTCAACATGGAGCCTTCCATATTCTATTTGGATAAAAAATGTGCAATCAAAAAACACATTTAGGTAACATGGGGTTTTTGTGTGTGTGTTTTTTTTTAACCAAACCCATCTATAAACTTTAGAGCTCAAAGGAGTCCTAAATGGTTATATAAATTACCTCTCAAAGTTTATTCCAATAAACTTTCAAATAATACTTTCGTCATTTGGTAGTATCTATCTATATACTTCTTTCATATAGTTATACATTTACAGAACAAATTTACAATATTACCTGGTGCCTACACAATGTTAATAGTTTTGGCCTATAATCAACATGATAATTCAGATGTAGATATTTTAGTGAAACAAATGGATATTTTCACCTTTTAAACAAAAGGAAAAGAGTTAATTTCCAACTATTATTTTTTAAAATGTTTTTATTAATTTCAGAGAGAGGAAGGGAGAGGGAGAGAGACAGAAGATGGAAACATCAATGATGAGAGAATCTTTGATTGGCTACCTCCTACATGCCCCCTTACTGGGGATCGAACCTGCAACCTGGGCATGTGTCCACTGGGAATCGGACCGTGACTTACTGGTTCATGGGTTGACACTCAACCACTGAGCCATGCTAGCCTGGCAATTTCCACACTTTAGAGGTCTTTTTATTTTAATATTATTAACAATTTTTTTAATGGGCAGCACAACAGCCTCCCCCCATCAATTGTAATTATGAAGTCTAAGCTGGTTCGGCTATAGCAGCATCTCTTTCTAGAACGAGGAAACGCAGCAGTGGTGGCCTGATTAAGAACAGACTCACTGCTAATGCTAATGCCCCCTTTAGGGAAGTGAGCCCTTCAAGCTCCCGTGCCCCTGTCTCACTGTCCTCAATGACCTCTTTTACTAACTCTTTCAGGCTATGGCTTTTTTTCCCTTAACTCTCTCACCCGTGTCTATAGCCTGTATTGGCAATGGCCAACATTTACAGACGCTTGTTAACACTTGGAGTGCGGGTGAATTTCCCGCCAAAATATAAGATGGCTCTGTCTTTTGGTTTTGTTCCATCCACCAAAAGGGTGGATTACAAACAAATATTTGGTAATACGCAGTTACAATCGGCCCGAGTTTACACGTTTCCCGCACTCCACCGCAAATCTATATGAACCGAGTTAAAGACGGCTCCCGCGGAGTACGCGCAATTCACGCGAGCCGACTTAACTCGTTTCCTGCACTCCAAGTGTTAAGTGCTAGGCCTTATGAAGCTAATTTGTGACACATCACCAAGGGAGAGAATGCAGCAAGCTACCACTGCTTTGAGGCAGGTTGGGCCTGGGACTTGGATCAGAACCAAGATGGAAAACTAGGACCATCAGAAAGGGAGCTGTTAAGAATTTATTATATGTCAGACGTTATCTGCAGCCACATAATCATCTCATCTTGAACTGAAAAACCTTAAAGCACTGTATTCTACTTTCTGTCAACAATCTCTTAACTTTATTCCCACTGCACCAGTTCTTCCAGTTGGTTGCAAGACCTAGTCCCTTGATCTGTTCATTTTTCTCCCAATCAGCTTTTCTTTTTTCCCTATGCAACCTGTATGCCATGATGCCTGCAGTCATGGAGACAGTATATCAAGGGGTGCAAATCTGACAGAAGTCCTGTAGGAGCATACAGAAAGAGGCTATTTCTTCAAGGACACAAGCAGAATTTACGGGATGCACTGTTAGAAAGGGAGACTATTCTAGGCAGAATAAGCAAGCTATGTGACTTTAATAAAAAACTCACCAGGGTGCAGAAAAGAATTAACAGGCTCGGACTGCATTAGCCCTGCACATTACTAAGAAAGATCTGTTCAGAACTGGCCCTTGGTCGCCTCCTGGGAGACATCCTCTGACCCTTGGAATATTCCACCTGATGAGTGTTTTCTGCGTGCCAGAGCCTGGGCCATGCCGCACCAGTGGGCTATGCACATTTACCCTAACATGGGATTATGGTGAACCCCACTGTTTGCTCTGGGAGGCAGGGACCAGTCAGAGGCCAATCACATGGGAGCTGCTAGCTTGCATGGCTGAGCCCCCCAAAAATCCCTGGACACCAAGGCGTGGATGAGCATCCTTAATTGGCTCCCACTTGATAAATGTAAACAACTTTTAGACATAGCACTACACTAATATAGGAATACCAGAGGCCCAGTGAACAAATTCGTGCACCAGTGGGGTCCCCAGGCCTGGCCTGCGGGATCAGGCCGAAACCGGCTCTCTGACATCCCCTGAGGAGTCCCGGATTGTGAGAAGGCGCAGGCCAGGCCGAGGGACCCCACCAGTGCACGATCAGGACTGGGGAGGGATGTGGGAGGTTGGCCAGCAGGGGAGGGACTGTGGGAGGGCTCCAGGGCGTGTCGGCCTGTCTCAGTCCCGATCAGCCAGACCTCAGCAGCAAGATAACCTACCAGTGAGAGTGTCTGCCCCCTGGTGGTCAGTTCACGTTATAGCGACTGGTCGACCAGTCAACTGTCTGCCCCCCTGGTGGTCAGTACACATCATAGCGAGCGGTTGAGCGGCCTTAGCATATCATTAGCATATTACGCTTTGATTGGTTGAACCAGATGACCAGATACTTAGCATATTAGGCTTTTATTATATAGGAGGATCCAACTGAAGTCTGTACTTAAAATTTGATATGTTAAAATTTTCATGAAGTCTGTACTTCATAACATAGCAGATTTATTTAATATTTATTTATACAACAAATGAGCATTCTCTACACACTAGATACTGGCTGCTAAGGATAGAGTAAACAATAATTATTAGTTGCTGCCTCTAATGAAATGCACTGACTTTTAATGTTATCAGTTCTCTGTCTAAGCTTCTGCTATGGACTAAACTGTGCCATCTCCAAATTCCATGGGAAGCTCTAACACCCAGTGTGAAGATATTTTCAGGTGGGGAGGTGGGGCCTTTCAGAGGTCATTAGGCCTAAGATGAGGTGATGGGGGTGGGGGAGTGGGGGGGGGGGCTCATGTCAGGATTAATGGCTTTATAGGAGGAAGACAGATCATGCTGTCACCACCATGTGAGGACACAGCAAGAAAGCAGCTGTCTGCAAACCAGGAAACTGAGTATACTGGCACCTTGATCCTGGTCATCGCAGCTTCTAAACTGTGATTAATAGTGTCTGTTGTTTAAGCCACCTGGTCTACGGTAGTTTGTTATAGCAGCACAAGCAAGCTAATACAAGTTTATTCTTTTACATTTTTCACTTAAGATCCTGAAGATATAAAGAAATAATGGATATTGGTATGAAATAGTGTGTGAAATTTTGTAAATTCTAAAATAAATAAGTAAAAGTACTTTGACTATGAAATGTTAAAATATTTTCTATATAAATCTTATAAAATGACTAGAGGTCCAGTGCATGAAATTCATGCACTGGGGGGAGGGGGGGGATGTCACTCAGGCCGGCCTGTGACCTCTCAGAGTCCAGGAGCCCTCGGGGGATGTCCGACTGCTGCGGAGGCGGGAGAGGCTCCCACCACCACTACTGTGCTTGCCAGTCGTGAGCCCGGCTTCTAGCTGAGTGGTGCTTCCCCTGTGGGAGCACACTGACCACCAGGGGGCAGCTCCTGCCTTGAGTGTCTGCCCCCTGATGGTCAGTGCACATCATAACGACCATTTGATTTGCATATTAGCTTTTTATAATATAGGATATAGAAAAAGTGCTTATTCTAAGACTATAAATAATAAAATTTGGCTTAACTTCTAGTAATTACCCACATCGAATTAAATAGGATTAAAACTCCATATAAAAATTCAGTTAATATATATAACATTATATCATAATGTTTAAGAATCAAAATTGTCTTATTAATAAGATCTATATAATAGCTCATACTGAAATGCTAAGAAAATTGTATACTCACATGCCAAGCTCCACCAGGTGGGCCTTTACCAAGAACTAAGTGAGGGATATAATGATGTTGTTCTAATTTCCAATGCAAAACAGATGGATAGTCATACCCAAAGTCAGCATCTGGATGAAGGAGTGTGTCAAATAGTACTGCAACTGGATTGGATGATCGGCCTTCAAGGCCCTCGGACAAGTATTCTAAGTCCTGAATGAATTTTTAAAAAAAGGGGGGGGGGGGGCAGATAGAGTTTGAAAAAAGAAAAACACAAACCACTGCTATCATAACAAAAGTGAAGGCCATTACTCTCACCCAGCATTTCCCAGAGAGTGGGCTGCACAACACTGGTGTCCCTTGAGATCTTAACAGATTCTTTGGTCAAATATGGGAAAGGTTGGGTCTCAACAAATCTAATCTGATCCTTTTACTGCAAAACTTGAAGATGACTTTAACATGCTAATATGCCTTAATATGTCTACAGTGACACTGCAGTCATAAAAGGCAGCCCTTTCCAAACTCATTTGAGCATACAACACCTATTAAAACTTTATCAGGAAATCATTTGGGAAATTCTATTCTTATCAAATCAGGAAAATAAATAAAAGCAAGCAGAATGTATTTACAAATCTAAGATTAAAATGATAGAAAGTGTTATTAGAAGAAAGGATTTTCAATTAAACACAATGCTTATATAAGCTGAACTAATCTTGTTTCAGTATAAAAAAATTAAAAGGATTGAAATAATACCTGATCAACAAGGGAAAGATGTCTTGCTTCTTGTAATTTACTCTGTAAGATTGTATTTGGATGTATTGCTTCTGATGATAAATATGGTCGGTAGCCTGATAACATGTAAGAAAGGCAGATCCCTGAGGGTCCATTTCCTATTTAAAAAAAAAGAGAAGGTGGAGAGGGTATGCCACGCACCACACGCCTCTTCCTTGGCTTTCCTCCGCCTCCACACGTGGCTTCTTCCTCACCAATTCTGCCTTCTCTAAACTCTGAAAGCCCAGGAGTCACAACACACTGACTTTCACCTTCACTCCTGGTTTTGTGGGGAGTCTCATCTACTCAAAGCTTCAACTCTCTATGCTACCGATTCCCAAAATTAGGTCTCTAGGCTGACCCCTTCCCCAAAAATATACTTCACATTTCCATATGGTGCTTCTTTACACCACCTGACAGGCCCACTAACAACTTAATCAAAATGCATTCAAAGCAAATCCATGCGTCCCTTCATTTAGCTGCCCTCTCCTCCTCCTCCACATATGGCATGCGCAAAATCCTAAGCCACTCAGCTTCTGGTTCTACACCCATTTTATCATCTATATCCATTCGGTTGTCTTTGCTTTTCTCCCGTACTTTCAATCAGAAGGCAAGTCTCCCCCTGCTTCTCCTCCTCAAGTTCACCTGCTCCAAAACCATTCCACACTCAGATGATTTTGGTAACACATGGTCTTCAGCATGTTGCTTCCTCTATTTTAAAGGCCTTAACTGCTTGTTGCTGACTACCCAGTATTCTCTACTTTCTAGGCTCAACCATCCTTCTAGTCCAGCCGTGGGCAAACTACGGCCCGCGGGCCGGATCCGGCCCGTTTGAAATGAATAAAACTAAAAAAAAAAAAAGACCGTGCCCTTTTATGTAATGATGTTTACTTTGAATTTATATTAGTTCACACAAACACTCCATCCATGCTTTTGTTCCGGCCCTCCGGTCCAGTTTAAGAACCCATTGTGGCCCTCGAGTCAAAAAGTTTGCCCACCCCTGTCTAGTCCCATCTCCTAATGCTGCCTTCCATATTTTTTTATATGCTTTAACTGAAACCAAACTGCATTTGTCATTGAAATATTTCCATTTCCATAGTTCCCTTAGTCTGGGTTTGCTACCTCTCTATTATCTACATCCATCAAAAATTGAATCCCACTGGGACAGCTGCTAGCCATAGGGAAAAAAAAACAAAAAACCCTATTCTTCACCTAATATTTTGTCCCAAATAAGCTCAAAGATAAATATGAAAAGTAAAATCATAAGAATATTAGTAAAGTGGGTGATACTTCTACTTACAATGCTGGACTGGGAAGCCTTTAAGCATGACATAGAACTCAAAAGACAGAGAGTGAGGTAAACCTTTTGCCCTCATACAAATTATTAACAACTGACAAGTAGTGGGAATGAAGATCTGAGGAAAAGAGCTTATTTCCTTGAATCAAAAAGAGACAAAACTGAAGAAGAGAAGTCATGATAACATCAACAGCTATAGAAAAAGCATTTGACAAAACCCAACACCTATTCATGATAAAAGCTCTCAGCAAACTACAGAGAGGGGAATTTCCTCCACTTGAAAAGGAGTATCTACAAAAAGCCTACAGCTAACGCCATACTCAGTGGTGAGAAATTATGTGCTTTCCCTCTAAGATCAACAACAGGACAAGGATATCTCTTTATACCATTCCTACTCAACACACATCTTGATGGAAGTCCTAGATAATGCTGTAAAGACAAGAAAAGGAAACTGTGGCCCAAGTCAAGTACCCGCTGAGTCCCACAGAATAATTGTTCTGTGGCCTTGGGGATCAGGAGGAAAGAAAAAAGTTCCCTATGTTCTGGAAGCTTTCAGGATGCTCCTGATAAGGAAAAGGCCTGTGACATGCCCAACAAGAACACAAGAGAGTGAAATGGAACAATTCCTAAACCTGGGTCACATCTCCTTCCTTGAGTAGCTTGTTAAAATACAGATGGCCAGCCCAGCTGGCATGGCTCATGGTTGAGTGTCGACCTAGGAACCAGGAGGTCACAGTTGATTCCCAGTCAGGGCACATACTGGGGTTGTGGGCTCGAGCCCCAGTGTGGGGCATGCGAGAGGCAGCCAATCAATGATTCTCTCTCATCATTGATGTTTCTATCTCTCTCTCCCTCTCCCTTCCTCTCTGAAATCAATAAAAAATACAGATGGCCAAGCTGTGACCCCAGTGGTTCAGCTTCAGTGAGCTGGGGTGAGAGCCCAGACATCTGTGTGGTTAACCAGCTAAGCAGGAGGGGGGGGGGGGGGACGACAAGAAAAGGAAATAAAAGGTATACAGATTGAGGAGGAAGAAATAAAACTCTCTTTGTTCACAATGCCATGATTATCTATATAGAAAATCCCAAAGAACTGAAAAAACCTCCTGGAACTAACAGGCAATTATAGCAAGGTTGCAAGATACAGAAAGAAGGCAGCTACTTTCCTATATATCAGCAATGACAAGCGGGATTTGAAATGCAATGCACAACACTGCTTATATTTGCACAGAAAAGAAAAATACTTGGATATAAATCTAGAATAACACATTCAAGATCTATGTGAGCAAAACCACAGAACTGATGAAATTAAAGCATATCTAAACAGATGGAAAGATAGTACATGCTTGTGAATAGTAAGACTAATCTTGTTAAGATGTCAGTTCTTCCCAACTTGAACTACAGACTTAATGAATCCAAATCAAAATCCCCAGCAAGTTACTCTGTGGATATGGCGAACTGATTCTAAAGTTGAAGTGAAAATGTGGAAAATCCAGAAGAGCCAGCACAATATTGAACCATCCAACTTCAAGTCTTACTGTAAAACTAGTCAGCAACACAGTGTGGAAAAAATAAAAGGACAAAATCAATGGAACACAATAGAGAACCCAGAGATCTTCACAAGGATAGTCAACTGATTTTTGACAAGAAAGCAAAGGCAATCCAATGGTGGTAAGACTTTTCAATAAATGGTACAAGAACAGGTGTACATCCACACATCAAAATAAATAAATCTGGATATTAACCTTACTAGAGGCCCAGTGCAGGAAATTGGTGCACAAGTAGGGTCCCTAGGCCTGGCTGGCAATCAGAGCCGATTGGGGCCTTCCAGCTGCTGGCCGGGTCCTCCCTTCCCCGGCTGCTGGCAGGGGCCTCAATGCTCTCAAAACAGATCACAGATGTAAATATAAGATGCAAAATAATAAAGCTTCTAGAAGATAGCATAGGAGAAAATCTAGATGACCTTTGGTTTTGGTGATGAATTTTAATAGGTTTTTAAAAACTAAGCATAGTCTTACCAGGTGATCCAGCAGTTACATTCCTTGTTTTTTTACCCAAATGAGTTGAAAACTTAATGGCCATGCAAAAATCTGCATGTTTATAGCAGCTTTACTCATAATTGTCAAAAACTGGAAGCAATCAAGATGTCATTCAATTAGTGAATGGATAAGCAAATTGTGAAACATCCATACAACAGAAAACCCATACATAGATTAAGGGAATTCGCTCTTTACTAGTATCTAGGCTCAGGTTGGTGGTGCTACTGCCAAGAGTAATGCATTAGGTTAAGCTACACTCATTGGCTAGCTGAGGCCAAACAGAAATAGATTGTTTGGGGGGAGTGAGGTGGGCAGGTACGGAGGAAGGTGGCTTTTCCTGACTCTCCTATAGCCAAGCTAGAACAAGAAGCAAGGTTCCTTGACTCCCAAGATATCAAGGATGGAAACTAGGGTGGGTGTAAGTTGGAAAATGGTACACAAGGTAAGATGCTCAAACCTCAGAGGGAAGGTAGGGAAAGGTGGGGGTAAGGAGGAGAGATCAACCAAGAGACTTGTATGCATGCATATAAGCATAACCAATGGATGCAGACAACAGAGGGTGAGGGCAGGATTGGGGGGGGTGGGGAGGCAATGGGGGGATAACCACACATTTGTAATACCTTAATCAATAAAAAATAACAAAAACAAATAAAAAAAAATATTCTGGATGAGAAACAGTGCAGAAACGCCTTTATCCTCTGCCCCAGAGGGGAATCTGTATAGAACTAGAGTGCTCTCTTCCTTCCTTCCTTCACTGAGTCTCCCACATGCTGGACAGAGGAGAGGGCTTTTCTCCCTTTCCCACTGACTTTGAAACAAAATATAGGTTGTCTTCATTACCAGGACACTGTCATAAAAACACCACAACTGATAGTATCTAATATAATAATAGAGGAATATGCCAATTAGCCGGGACACCGTAACAGCACGACCCATCTACAAGCGGCGGAGAGCTACAGGAAGGCGGGGCAGCGGGCGGAGAGCTACCAGCTGTAGTGGGCGGGGTGGCCAGCTGAGGCAGGCAGCAGCCAGCTACTCGCACACGGATTCGTACTAGTTTTAAAATAATAGAGTAATATCAATCCTTAATGAATGGATGCTGTGCTGCATTCTAACACAGGACCTCAATCAGGTAAACCATTTACTCTCTCCAAAGATTTGGTTATTGGTTGTTTTAAGATATTAAACCTAATAATACTTTTCAATAAAATCCTAAGAACTTGTAACTATGTAACTGTAAATGTATAAAAGTAGTAAGGATCATAACTAATTTTAAGCGATATAGTGCAATAACTTACCTATTACTACCACAGGCAAAGTCACTGATGAATCCTCAAGAAAAGAAGTTTCTTCAACTAAGGGCATCGCTTTCACTTTTCGCCCCAAATTATCACCAAAATACTGAACTAAGGAATTATAAATCTCTCCTTCGGTTTCAGTGTCACCATAGTTTCTTTTTAAAAACAAACATGGAATAAAAACAAGAGATATATAATTAATATAGCCTTTATAAAAATCTCTCTTTATTCAGATTTTACTTAGGCATCAAAAAAAATTCCAGTTCCATAAAAGGAGAAAATCCTTCTGATTAATGCTTTCAAATCAGTAGCTTAGCTACATGTCAACCTACACCATATTGAATGTCAGAAATCCTCCATAGCTGCCAATGTTTCTTTATAGGCCAGTCCTACATAAGACAAGTCCCAATTAAGAAGCTGTCTTTAAGATGATCAACGACACAGGTTATATGGAGATTTTTAATTTTCTGAGATCCTGTAGGAGTGGGTAGTTTCTTTTTTACTTTTCTTTCATTAATGGAAAGTACATTAGAGGCAGTATATTTAAAACAAAAGTCACAACTAATATTTTAAGGAAAAGTTACTGTACCTATATTGTGCATTTTGATTTAAAAAAATTAGGTTTATACATTTTTTTCTCAAAGACATACTGAAATATGGAAAGATCTTAATGCTGATTTCCAATCTACCTTCTTTCCCAATTGCCTTCCTAGAAACTAGTTTTGGCATTCTGACATACTCATGCAATAAACGGACTAATGTTAAACATTGTTTCATGTGCTTATTAGCCATTTATACATCTTCTTTGGAGAAAGTCAAATTCTTTGCCCACTTTCAAACTGGGTTCTTTTTATTGTTGAGCTTTAAAAATCCTTTATATAAGTCCCTTTTCAGATATATGATTTACAAATATTTTCTTCCATTCTGTGTGTTGCCTATTCACTTTATGTTGTCTTTTTTATCACAAAAGTTTTACATTTTGATCAAGTCCAATTTATTTTTTCTTTTGTTGCTATGCATTTGGTGTCATATTTAAGAAACCAATACTTAATCCAAAGTCACAAAAATTTACTCCAATGCTTTCATCTACAAGTTTTATAATTCTAGTTCTTACATTTAGGTTTTTCATTCATTTTGAGTTAGTTTTTGGATATGGTGTGAGGGAGGAGTCCAACTTCATTATTTTGGCTGTGGATATTTGTCCTAGCACCATTTGTAGAAGACTATTCTCCTTTGACTCACGATCCATGGAAAACCAAGTGGCCATAAGCATAAGGATTTATTTCTGGACTCTCAATTTTTGGCTGAGTTCCCTGCAATTCCATATACTTTTCTGGGGGGGAAAAGGCAGCTAGAATTTTGATAGGATTGCACTGACTTTGTAGATCAATTGAGAAATACAGCCATCTTAAGCACAGAGTGGGGCAAAAATTGGTTTACAGTTGTTTATATGGTAAATAATATAATAAATAATGCAAGAATAAACTTTTGAGTACTCACAACTGGACGCCTATTCTTGCCCCACCCCGGACAGGAAGGTTCTCGGTCCCCACACAGGGACTCCTCTCCGCTCACGGAGGCCTGCCTCGGGGGTTCGGGACTCCTCTCCGCTCACGGAGGCCTGCCTGGGGGTTCGGGACTCCTCTCCGCTCACGGAGGCCTCGGGTTCTCGGATGTGCTGTGCTTTTACATTTCCTTTTGTTAAAGTGCCTCCCACTCACTCCTGCGGGTGTTGCAGGATGGAATCCACTGGAGCTGCCGGGAGGGCCTGGCCGTCAGGTAGGAGCGGCCGCACCTGCGAGGCACCCGCGACCGCAGCACCGGAGCGGCTGCTCGGAGCGGGGAGTCCTCCTGAGCCTGCGGGCCGAGCAGCGCCCCTGGCCGGGCACGGCTGCACCGCGACGGCTGGGGGGACAGTCACGGGTGTGACTGTGGTTCTTGCTTTTATTCATCACTGGGTATTAGATTTTGGTTTTTAAAACTCAGCGGAAATCCTGTGGTAGCCTTCTTCACATCCGAGTTCCGGCACCTCCATCGCACCGGTCCAACTGTAGGACTCTGGACCGTTTTGCGTTTGACAAATAGAAGCTCTCCCGTGGCCATCCCGGGGCTTCGGCCCGTGCAGGCGCGGTGCCCGGCCCGAGGGACACCCCGGGGGAGACCCGGACCCCGCTCGCTCCGCATCGGCCGCCCTGTCCCCGGAGTCCCCGGCCTCCAGGACCACGGCCTTCGGAGCGTCCCGGGCCGCGGAGCCAGGATCGCACTCCGAAAACTTAACATCCTGCCGCCCTTCGCCCAGGAACTGAGTTTATTCGGTGGTTTATACGGAAATAAAACCATTCCTG